TCAAGCCAGAGATGGAGAACGAAAATAGGAAATTGGATTATTATTGTATTAATATTTCAGTTTCTCTTCATTTGAACACCTGTCTTTGAGTTTCCTGAAACAGTTTCAAATCTTGTCTGAGTCTGTTCCTATATTTCTCTTGAGCAGTTTCTCTCAAAAACAACAAAAGAAGCCTGCAGAGCAAACATTTTAATGAAGTAAACATCCAGTCCGACCTGGGATGAACTTTTTTTGCCACTTAAAATTCCACGTAAATCATTGGAAATATAAAAACCTCGCAGGAGGCGACAAACAACAGTTTGGAGAGGAGCTGTAGTGGCCGGTGTCTAATTGGGAAGATCCAGAAGTGATTAATGCAAACTAATATTTCATGGCAATTAAAATGATGAAAGCTGGAGGGCTTTCTGCTGTTAGTCTGAATTGCTGCAGGAATGTGGTGGCAACAAAGCTGAGAAGCAAATTGCATTAGTAAGTTGAGGAGAACTGTATTAAAATGCAAATGTACAGCTGTTAATAGTTCTTCAAAAACCAATAATCCCCCACAGTCAGTCATGTGTCAAAATGGTTAATGGAAAAATATCCCAGAGGCATGCCGGGTCCTTTTTCCATCCCGCGTTTGATTAAAGCCAAATTTCTGTTGGGGAAAACGCCGTTTAGGTCAGGATGGGATTGGCAAAGACGGCTTAATGTGGGCAGGATCCCAAACTCATTGTTCTGATGCCCTGATTTCACAGATAGGGCTTCTCATGGGAGGAACCCTTATCCAGAACACGGGGACGCCAGGCTGCAGATCAGATGCACAGTTATTACAGGCATTCATCATGCAGCTGAGTGGGATGCTGAGTGGGTTTAAAGTGTTCAAGTGGCAGGACCAATAATAAATACTCCTTGTTTCTCTTAATTATGTAGCCGCTGAAGCTCAAGTCATAAAAAATGTGCCCAGGGAGCATAAGGGAAAACAATATTTGGCTGATAAACAGATAGGGCAAGTTGAAAATGGAGAAAGACATAACTGGCTGGATAAGGGGCTACATTTGATTTTATCTTATTGCAGATTACATCCAGTGAGGGCTCAGCTTCCTATGATACAAAAGGGTATAAAAAGGGGTCCAGTAAAATCAGCTATGGCCTTACCCCGAAGTCATCCGTTATTAAGTATGCAGTAAATCCAAACAATAAAGAATTTATAAATAATCAAATTTCATGAGAGAAATGCCCTCGGTCTGTTCAAGTTAAGCTCAGAATAAAGCTGGATTAGGCAGTGTAACTGGACTACTGTCCTTACCCCAGTCAGAGCTCTGACTTGGTGCGACTTCAGTCAGACAAACGTCTTTACATGTATTGAAAAAAAGGTGAACAAGCACATTTGTTCCAGATCATTTGACTCTACCTGTTCCAAAACAACTTTCTTAAGTACAAGACAAAGTTTACATTATAAATGTATTCTGTAAAGTCATAAAAACAGCCAACATTACTCTAAATTATAGCTGTATTAAAAGTATGTAATACCATAGGATGAGCCTCCAATATAATTGACCTATCGGGAAGCCACGCCCCCTTTAGTTACTGATGCTAGGTCCGTCAAGCCTCTTGGAGCTGACAGACTGTTGACACAATACCATGGTAGGGAGAAGTATTCCAGCGCCTGTCAGTGACATTTTTTGGAGCAATACCTGAGCGATATCCTCAAGATCGAGGCAAAAGAGGTTGCGATAGTGAAGGGTTATATTTATAATAGTTCAAGTTCAAGTTTCTTTAATCGCCACACGGCTAGGCCGGTGGAATTTTTCACAGTGCAGGTGGTAGCTGCAACAATACACCACATTAATTTAAACAGACATTAAACAATCAACAGGAAATAAAAAAAAAAAAAAAACTGTGACATGACATAACATATGAAACGGGGTACCACGGGACATAATACACAGACTTCACATATGTCGACCAGAGGAGTTTAGCAGTTGTACGGCAAGGGGGAAGAAGGAGTTACTGTAGCGCTTTGTTGAACTGCCTAGAGATCCGAACCTTCTACCCGAGGGGAGGAGCCTGAAAAGATGGTGAGCTGGGTGCGGTGGGTCATCAATTATTTTGTATGCCCTTGTGATGGTATGGTGTTTGTGGATTGAGTCCAGTGTGGGGAGTTCACAGTTAATAATTTTGGAGGCCCTTTTTATCACCCTGCCCAGTCTGTTTAAAATGTGCTTTGGTGTGTTGCCGTGTTGAGTGGTGTGATGATCCCAGTTCAGCTTGTTGTTGATGTGTGTACCTAGGAATTTAAATGAGTCTGTTGCAGAAATGGATTGGTCGTTAATGATGATGGGTGTCTTGATGGAGGTGTTTGTCTGAAGTCAATGATGAGTTCAACTGTCTTGCTTTCATTGAGGATGAGATCGTGGTCTTTGCACATGTTGACCGTTCTGTCGATCTCTGACCTGTAGTTGTCCTCCATGTTGTTGGTAATCAGCCCCACGATGGTGGTGTTGTCGGCGTATTTCAGCAGCTTGACTGAAGTGGAGGCTGATCAGAGGTCGTTGGTGTAGAGGGAGAAGAGCCACGGGGATAGACCACACCCCTGTGGCACGCCGATGTTGGTGGTCAGAGGGAGAGAGGTGAAGTTGTTGTGGCGGACAACTTGGGTGCGTTCCTTCAGTGTGTCCAGCAGCCAGAAACAGAGGGAGGGGTCAATGTTCATGTTGATCAGAGTGTGGAACAGTTTGAGGGGATTGATGGTGTTGCAGGCACTGCTGAGATCTATGAAAAGTATCCTCGCATATGAGTTTCTTGACTGCAAATGCTTGAGGGTGAAGTGCAGAGCTAGATTGAGATTAGCGGGGAGTGTGGCCTTCCACACTGTTTGATCCACTGTAGGCAAAGATTCTTCTGTGTTTTCGGCTTTAGAAAGGGCAAGAAAATGACTCCCCCAGCCAAACTCTTGGGGTACAAAGTGTCTGACTTGCACATGCCGTGGGCACATCGTTTTACCATTTCACTAGTAGTCTGTGGCTTGTCTGACCCTGCTTACATATTAACAGTTGCTAGGCTGTGTGATTGCACAGTGACTGTTTGGGGGCATGGTTTTGTGAAGGTCAGTTGAACTTATCTGGTGCTTCGGTCCCATCCCTATTTGGCGGACTTTTTAGTTTAGGTTTTTTTTTTAAACGAATGTTGCTAAAAAAGAATTAGTTTGTTTTTCAAGAGCATCCCAACCATCAGCCTTAATCAGACAGACGTTTTAGGAAGTTGGAAAAGATTTCATTTAATATAAGTTTCAAAATTCTGCCATTGTTGTCCACCAAACTTGACAACATGCAATTAATGTTCCCCCTAGTTCTCAGCCTAATTATTCCTTTAGCTGTTGTACTTTTTCACTTAATCTTCTAGTGTCCTGCTGAAATATAACTCCCCACTTTAAGCAGAAAAAAATAGAAATCATTTCCTCTGGGATAAAAAAGAGAAACTGTGTCTGTTTTATTACGAATTAACAGGAATTGTTTCGTCATGTGTTTGCTCCTACACTGATGATATTTAGCCAGAAAGTCTAAAATCCCTGCTGGCTTGTTAAAAGTGAGCATTGAGGGCAAACTTTTGGAGGCAGCTCCTTAATGAGGACAGCTCTAAAAGCACTCCACGGACCGCCAATGAACACACAAACCTGGCATCCACTTTAATTACTGATAAGTTGTGAGCCAGCTAAAGGCAGCGGATTTCCCTCCCCCAGAGCCCCTAATCTGTTTAAAGCCGGCTGCTGATCCTGACTGCCGAGCCGGAGGATTCGATGGCAGGTGCCACTGTGGAGTCCCAGAGCAGACGCTATCAGACTCGCATCCCAATCTCCACATCTCCCAGGGAACCCGAATACAAGTTCACCTCTATGTGTCCAACTTTCTGGCACCTTCAGTTATTAGGAAATGCGCTCGATCACACATGGTGCAGAGTCAGAGGAAGATCCAAGAAGTAATTATATTCAGGGATGGAGCTTATGTGTTCCTGTGACTGTGGAGGCATTCAGACAGACTGTTTACATCCTCTCTGTTTGTGCTCCATACACCAGAGAAATATGGAGGCTGTGTCATTTGTCAAAACACATACTTGGTAATTAATCCATCATTTCTTGAGCCTGGAGAAAAACATCATATTAATGTGGTGGCCAGATGGATTCTACCTGTCGCACATTTACACCATACTGAACACCTGGCACTGAACATGTGTGTTTTTCTTTATATGATCAAAGAGACTTTTTCCAACTCTGGACCAACCTGACAACATTTTAGTTTCCTTATTTCCACTCCAGAGTCCTGTCTGTTTTAAATGCAGTGCTGCCTGAAGGACCATCAGTCTTAGTTTTGGTCCTTGTCCTTTTAGTTCGGTGATTTATCCAGATTCTCTGAATCGTAGAATGATATGATGTTTTGTAGATGATAAAATCCACTCATTCTTTCACATTTGACACTCAGGAACATTATTCTGAAACTGTTGAACTGTTAGCTCACACAGTCTCTCAGAAAGTGGTGAACCTCTTCCTATCTTGCCTCTCTGAATGTCCTTTTTATACCCAGTCATGTTACTAACCTGTTGGAAATGAATTAAATCAATTGGAAATGTTTCTCAAGCTGTTCTTTCGGCATTATACAACTTTTTGCCTGTTTGGTTGTTCCTCTATAAAAACGTTTTTACCTGTTTGGTTGATCCCAAAAAAACTTTTTAGAAACTTATTACTGCATCAAATATAAAATGAGCACAGATTTTTTTTTTTTATAACAGAGTAAAATAATTCAGTTTCAACATTTGATTTTCTGTTATTGCACAATTTCCTCTGAAATAATCTGCAAACCACCAAGGTCTAGTTTTATGGACATTTGACAAACTTCTTGTTTGCAGTGTCATAATTTGAAACATTGTATCGCCGACATAGTTGAGAAAGTGTGAGCATTAACAGGCCAAATGTGTAACTACGACAGAAGCACACCAAAAATCACAGAAAGAACTCAGACACACAAACATTGAATTGATAAAATTTACTGTATTCTTTAATTCATTTGTACATCTCCAACCCCGCCCCACCCCAACCCCTTAATAAAGAAACTTCCAAGGAATACTTTAATATATTTAGTCAGTTTTACAGCTTCTGTACAGGATTGCTGTTTTCATGAAATTCACATCTAGGGCAGCAACATCATTTTCTTTGTTAGAGGAACCAAGAACGAGCATAAATGGAGTGAACGAGAGGGAAACACAGCTCATGGGGTTCATGTACAGAAGCAGCGCATTGGGGTAAACTATGTACAATACAAACCATTCATACAAATTAGGCTCTAAGATATAGAATTCAATACATTACATTTGATATAGTAAGTGACAATGAGCAAGCCCCTTCCCCCAACGAACCACCAAAAGATCAACAGTCATGATCAGACATTCAATCAGCTGAGAACAAACCAATTACCTAACAGACTCAACAACAGCTGGACTATCACTCTGACAACAGCTGGAGATCGACGGTCTGAGGAGGAGCCAGCTCAGCCATGTTTAGGTACAACCACCTTAGATTTCCAACCTTTGAATCATCTCTGTCCTATTCAGCTGCCTTGCAGGTTTGGTAGAAATATCTGAGGATTTTATTCTTTTTTTATTCCTTTTTTTTTTAAATGAGGAGTTAAATCTGTTTCCAGTTATGCAGGGTAAACTGCAGAGCATTGATAGCACAGCAGGGGTAAACAGTCCGTGTGTTGTTATCCAGAGAGATAATGCATCATTGCTTAATTATAGGAGACAACAAAACAAAAAAAAACAAATAAATAAATAAACACCAAGCTGGAAAAGAAGTTTGAACTCAACATGACCAGACAAGAAAAAGGGGAGAGGTTGAACAGAAGTAACAGTCCCAGAGGTACTACGAAGCCCCTGCTATCTACACATGGTTCAACAGGGATAAACCAGAGGTAGGAAACAAATTTCTAACAGATAAAATTCACAAAGCGCATTTTAAAATCGTAAACCACCTCAACAGTCAAATAAACACCGTCTCTTCAGAAATCAGAGCATGAAATTGGGAAAATTGTTTGACGCTGTGGTATGGACATGTTTGGGGATAGTACGGCTAACAAACACATTTCTCTGGTGTGGGAAGAAGCCCCAGTCTGTGCTCTACTCGTCCACTCTCCTGAAGGAAGGGAACAGGAAGGTCAGCCAGAGGGGAAGTAAGGAGTGTCACTGTGGTAGTTGTAGTCCGGGCAGACTTTCTGCACCAGTTTGTAGTCGGTGCTGTAGAAGGAGATAAAGATGCAGATGACTTTGAAAGGTTTGGAGCAGAGCCAGGAGACATGGCTCTGGGTCTGCTCCTGGTAGCAGGTCTTGGATGGGTCAAAGTTGCAGAGTGTGTTCTTGGCGCCCTTTTCCACCTTTTCATACTCGATGCGGCAGTTGAAGGACTTTGAATCCTTGGCGTCGATGACAGACTGCTGCGCCGCCACATCAAACTCGACTATCTTAGTGGGAGGTACCAAGCTGACGGACACATTACCTTGACCTGTGGAGTTGTGACGGAAGTAGACACTGAAGGTGCCGTTGCCGTGATCCACGATCTTTCCAGTGATCAGCAGGTTAAGTTTGACCGTCTTGATGTTCGAGTGGAAGTCCCCCCAGCCGAACATCTTCTTGAACTTCCCTGTCTTGACCATTGGCCGCCGTTTGGCCCGCGGCCGTGAATCCTGCAAATCCGTGGAGTTCCTCAGCCAGTCCCACAGGTCCTGCTCAGAGTAGGGCTCTGGAGTGTCATAGCGAAGGTCCAAGGCTGTGCTGTTCTCTTTTCCTTGTAGAGTCTGTGACAGCAGCCTACTGATGGACATATCCTTACTGCTTTCTGTCCATATATGCTTTAGTGTGGATTTGGGGCTGCCTGACTTGACAATGTCCGACTTTGAGGCATGAGCACTTGTTACCTGTGGAGGAGAGACAAACAACTGTCAGCAAGTCAAGTAAAACTTCCAAAAACATCTAAAAGCAACCAATGTTGACCAAAGTAAGACAAGAAAACCACAATAAAGCAGAGCCGTTGGTGGTAAAGAATGGGCTCTTGCACCTCTGCAGATTATGTGGCCTGAAACCGCTGCAGGATGTCCCTGTGCTACAGCTATGGCTTTGCAGGAATAGGTCATATCAATCTCCATCAACTAAATATCTGGATCCATACAGACTGAGACTGTCAGAGTGAGCGTTTAATTTATCGCACACAGACAGTAATCTGTCAGTGTATTCAAAAAGCATAAAAATTGATGGCATATACCTCTTATGTACAATAGGTGGCACTAATACTATGACTAAACCATGTATGTTAATCAGCTCAGGCAGCTGCCACCATCAAACCTGTAAAATTTTTAAAAAGACTGGTTGTCATTTGTAAAGGGTTAGTACCATATATTTCCCCAGGGTGGCGCTATGACTGTAGTAGAGAAATAGGCACATGAATGTTTTCAGAGGTGGACCCTGATTATGTATGAGCAATGTTTAACTGATCAAATGCTGTGTGAAGAAGTTCGGACGTACACAACAGAGCAGCTTCAGATATAATATATGTTGGGGACCAGAAACCAACAGGTGATGTCACTAAAGCTGTGTTTCTGTGCGAGGATTTTATCCCTTCAGAAATTTGTCTAAAATGTCATTTGTTGTACTGCCACTATTTCCTTATTGCAGAATCTTTAGTAGATGCCATTCAAGAGCCTCGAGGAATTTTATGGTGGTGGGAAAAAGGTTGAAGTTAATGCCCTGAAATGCTCCTTCTGAAGAACTAGCCTATGTATTTGGAGAGATGATGCACCACAAGGTAATACTTATCTATCTCATTCAGGAAATATTGACTTCCACATTCAGGCGAGCCCTATTCCACAGAATTGACCAATCAAATATACTCCTTAGGGGAAAGTGAGAGCCGATCTTTACTGTAATCTTCAATTTGGGATCATGATAGCGCTGCGCTAAATTGGGATTTTAGTGCAGCAAGCCAAGTAGGAAGGAGAATACAGCAATCAGAGAAAACATACTGCTCCTATCTCCTCTTTCTGTCTAATACAGGCAATATCTACCGGCTCTTACAGATAAACGCAGTGGCAGTTCAGCCAGTAAAGACTGGGCTATTAACTAAAGAGAGCTCCTTGAATTGATGATTGATGAACCCCAGGGTTTTCACTATTTAGCAGCAATGAGTGGAATTAGGCTCAGACAGGCCCCTGGTGGAGGTATGGGACACTGATTGCCTGACTTATACTGTAAGACGTGACAGCAGATCCGTCTTGTTGAAGTTTTGGCATTTTACATGTTGCTCCCAGGATCAATACTTTGAAAATAAGGTTTCGCAACCAATCAGTCGGCCTTTGGAATTGAATCACACCGCAGCGAGTCTCTCAGCTTCACAGGGACACACAGAAAGCTTTTCACATACTGTTATAGAGGAGAATATACTCCTGGTGTAAAGTAAGTTGCAGGCTGGGTGGCAGAATGAAATTAAAGACATGACTCTGAGGGGACTGTGGTTTTAGATTAGAGGTGAACAATACTAGAGAAAGAGGGTTGGAGTCTCAGATGAATAATGTTTGACCCTTGAGTCTTTTTGGTTAAACTTGTCCTTCATAAAACAATTTTTCTGCCACTTTGACCCCCTCAAGAGGTCAAGACTCTTGAGGGTGCAAGTCTTTATTGATCACATAACTTTGGAGTATTTAATGGCTGTCTTTTGGGAATAACAGGATGAGTTGGTATTGAGGTTCACACATACATTTATGGCTACAGAATATAACCAACTGTCTGTGGTGGTTCTGAGTGGAACGTGTCATCAGTTTGCACAAATATTTCCAAAAAGTTTCTCTATAACTCTGAGACTGTGAGAAAACCGAGGTCATAGTTGGGGTTACCGACTTTTCCTAACTTTCTCTGACATCCCAGATTTTGATTTGTTGAGTGTGTAACATTCTTTGTTATGTATGCTGGCATATTTATACCAGTTATATATACTGGTATATTTGTATGTAGACTGGCTGTGGATGTCATGGTAAATTTAACAGTCAATAGGATTTGGGGGAAGAAAATTGAAGACCCTATGATAGTAGGACAATTTCTTGTAGTGTACTTATCTTGAGATTAAAAGTGAAAAATCAATGATTTTTCTCCTCAAGTACATGATGTTGACTCTTTTATAAACAGCTGGGATTTTGAAATGTAAGTCATCAAAGACAAGACATAACAGTAATGTCATAATGGCCCCAAGTCCCCAAACTTTGTATTTTACAGCTACAAAACAATGAATGAAGCTGTATAAAACTGTGACATTCAGAAAAAATGTATCATGTAGAGAACTAATGGTACACTAAATACAGGTTGCTAAGTACTAAACCAGTCAGTCGGTGGGGAGCCTGCTCTTGAGGAGACTTGCAGAAGAAACAAAAAGCCGCCGAGTGAGGCTAACAGCCCACTCAGAGAAGCTGAAGAGGGTCTTAGAGGATCTATCTTTAGCCTGAGGGGTTAAACTCAGAGAGCTCTCGGCTGTGCGAGGCAGACACACTTAGCAATCATCTCCTATTCAAACAGGTGAGGTGGCCTCCTCATGCTGAAGAACAGCCCAGGTTAGTGGAGGGTGAGGATTACACTGGGATGGATTCATGATAATGAGGCTGCCTGTGAAGAGGATGTGGAAAAGACCTCTTCTCTCACAGTATTTATGAAAAACTGAACATAAAAACAAGAGACAAAGAGCTTAAGATGCTTTAAGGGGATTCTTCTTTTTTACAGCATTTTTAATCCTCATAGAAATTCAGTCCTCACACATGAAGTCAGCTGTGGAAATGAAACACAAGCTGGTAATACTACGGCTGAATACCAGATCCTTTAATTCTACCTGCAGTGGACTGTGTGTCTCTGAGCAACACATTTAAAAAGGAGTCTATTCAGATGACTGGACAATGCTGAAATGATAAATGCATTTTGATGCTGCTTTAGACGGTGTGAGCGGGTTTATGTCCCTACACTTGAGATGCACCAGTTTTGAAAATCAGGCCTGAAGCAGATAAAGATATTTGAGGCAACAATTCAGCCATGAGCAGATTTTATTATGGATAGTTTTGCAATTCCCACTTACCAGTATCTAACCCGTACGTTGTACCACAAAGACTTATACCATTAAAAGCCAAATGTTTTTGCAATCCTTTGGACGTATCTTTATTTGAATGTCTATCTTTAAAGTCCCTGTTATAGCCGATACAGAGGTTGAGTTATTAGGTTTTTGGGTCAAGTAGAAGTTTCGACAATACAGCATTTGAAAGAATGAGCTTCAACCAGCACTTAATTGTGCTTTCTATCAGTATGAGCATGAGAAAGATGCATGACTGTCTGAAACAGGTCTAGACCCCAGCAGACCTCTGGATGGCTCTGAATGAGTGGATGTGAGATGGCGAGGGCACTTGGTGGAAAAGTCACAATGACAAAAAAAAAACACGGCTTTGATGCCTTCCCAAAATGATAGGTATAACTGCATGGCCTCAAACTTCATTGTTTGTTTACAGCCACTCTGCTCTCACAAACTCTCCATGATGACAGCCGGTAGCTCACACAAAATCTTCATTTCAATAGGCTGGTCTGCAACACTTTTGCACCTGTTATCAATTGTGCACACAATGATAATAGATTACCCACAACAAGTCCACGAATAACACATGTATTTTTTTTTTTGGACATGTGCTCACTAATTTGTAGATCAGGCCCTTAGAGGCCAAAGGAAAACAATAAAAAATGTTTCGGAATTATTGAGTAGATTGTTTCAGATGGGAACAAAAAATAGAAGTTTTCTTTTTCTTATGTTTTTGTGACCGGTGCATTCATTGAGCTCTTTAATCAGGCAGATTTACTGGACTTAATTTGTAGAAGTTGGATGGCAGCAGATACCTTGTAGCCAATCAGAATCAAATTTCTTCAGCTTTTAGAGGTTTTGATCCACAGTTGGTTAATCTGAATTTTGCTCAGGTTGCAAATATGTTCAACAAAGGTCACAGGTCTACATCATGCTAATGTAAGCAGAAGGCTTTAAGTACAGGAGTGTGGTGTATGAGTGTTCAGTTTTTTCTGCTTATCTGTGCTCATTGTTTGCCTTGTCCGGTGGTTGGGTCCTGCACCGTGCATACAGACATGTTTATCTGAGCAGTTCTCAGGCTGTAGCATCGTCCAGCATGTTTTGGGCAGAGAGCCAGTGGGTTTGCTGGATCCTGGAGCTGCCAGCTGTTGTGCACTCACCTGAGGGAGCAGTGCATCTGGTAAACATGGCCGGCACTGTGGCCAGCACAAGCCTCGCAGATACCTGACCAGCGGCCAGACAGCCAGTTGGTCACCCTAAGGCAGAAAAGACTGCTGGGAAAGGCAAACAGCACTGTCTCTGTCTGAACCATCCAGTGGAGACGTGAAGTCTTTACTAAGGTCTCTGCAAAGGCTGCGCTGAAACATACATCCTGTCTGCTCTCTACAGCTAAATATGAAGTTTCCTCCTGGAAATATAAATTCTTGCAGAGTATACATCCATTGGCTTCTTTGTGCAGGATCAAAGATGATCAATCTGAGTGAGGAGCCAATGCCCTGACTCTACATGTCAGTTCAAATGTTTTGTCTGAGGAGTATTTTTGTCATGTAAAATCACAAAGTTTTACTCCTTGGCTTGGTGATACAAAATCTTACAGGCCCTGTGTTTGTGTATTTTTAGGCTTGGCTGCAGACTGTATGGAAACCAATGGTCAGAAACTCTGTCATATCACACAGTGGTCGAGTTTTGACTTCTGGTTTAACATCTCAGTGATTGTCACTTCGCTGTTCTGCAGACAAGAGTGTCACATCTGGACAGGACTGTGGTCATAAATAACTTCACATCTGTCTTGGTTGACCGGTCACTCTGGCCCGGCCTCACTCTGAAGCACATCCTGATTTATAGTCTGCTTGGATCCTAACTGTGCCATTACAGGAGACTATTATTCAACCAGACCTTTATTGTAGTCTCGGTCCTCCATTTGGTGGACTTCAACACTGTTATAAATCTTTAAGCAACTGGTGGAGATCTAAAATGATGCACTATTAAAGGACTTTTGCTTTAGATTCTCTTTCAAACTGAGGCCAATATTAGACTATTTCCTACCGGTATGGGCTGGACCCAGAAATGAACAACTGTGCATGCTAAATAAATCATAAAAAAAAGAGTTGATGCATATGCAGAAAAGAAATCTATACTTTTTAAAGATTATTGGTTCGTCTATTTTAACTGAGGCTGCAGCCCAGCTTTTTCGCAGAACAGTCGAACAGAATATTTCTGCACAGTTTGCACATTGCCCCATAAAAATGATGTCCAACAGCCTCTATTTCCATAAGTTTCATAATGTGCACAATCAACAATACATAATTTTCATCCTTTGTAAATGTCTCTCTATTCAAATCTTTTATTGCACAGGCATGTGGAGGTGGAGCTGAAACCTTCTTGACTTGCTGAGAATATATTTACTCTGGGTTACAAACAGGACCATCATTTTAAAGCTGTAATTTCCTGTTTGACAGAGCAATAAAAAAAATATGTTTCTCTCATTGCTCTGCGCAGAAAACACAAACAGAGATGTGTGTGAGGAGGTGTTTCAAATCTGCAGCTTTTAAGTGGGTCATTTATGAACTCAGTAATTTAGTCAAAGTAAAAGCTGCATGTTCATTTACAGAAACTCAGAGCAAAATCTTTGAAATAACATCTTATTTTATATATAGATCAGGAAAACAGGTCAGATTCAGCAAATCTTATATGTTTTCTATCCAAACTCTTATCACAACTGTTTTTTACTTACAAATGTTTAAAAATGATAACTTTCTCTCTCAAACATAATTTGTTATTCTTTCAACTTTGACTCCAGCAAGCCCAGCAAGCTAAAACCCAGAAACTGAATCACATCAGTGCATTCATGAGGACTTTACAAATCTAAAACTCAGGATGGATCAGAGTTAAACTTTACTCTCCTACAGTATGAACTCCCAGATCACTCTGCCTCCTGTGTCCAGAGTCTGAACCTAACATTGAGAGGTTACAGTTTTAGGCCTGATCCACATGTATGGTGGATATTTTGAGACTTTCTGCTGTTTTCAAAGAACAATCCAGGGATGGATGAAAAAGTTCACATTTACAGTTCCACCAGCAAATGAAACACTGCATGCTAACTTTAATGCAGTATTTTAAACTGGCTCTGTGATATTTGAACCCTCTGTTTTTGCTGTTTTTACTTTCTCTCAGCTTTCTGTTTTAACAACTCTAACATTTATTCTCTGAATGTGTTTCTCTGACCTTTGTCATTTTCTTTTAATGTCCTACATTAAACTCTTTCATTTGCTCTGTTGCTGAAATGGGTTATATCTAAATTTGCTTTGTTGTTGGACCTGATGGTAGACAGCAGCTTAAAGAGAGAGACTTTTTTTACTTTTCAACTGTAAATATTCACAGTTGGTGACAGGTCTTGTGAAGATGGATCAATCACTCATGCATTAGTTCCCCTCTTACAGGGATATTCCGGTGTAATTTTAAGTTATGGTCAAACACTATGTAACACCTAGTTAGACACCCCCTTAAGAAGTGAATATTGCAGACTGCTCGCCTCTCTAGTTACACCAACTGCAGCAACGACTGCTTGATAGCAACACACAACGGTCAATGTCTCCACACGCAAACTTCAACCAAAAACCAAAAGATTTATGATCATCACTTCATGAAAATGCGATCAGACCGAGATGCCAAGGCAGAAGAACTACTGTATCAGCAGTGAAAAATGATTATTATGATGATTATTACTGCAAGGAAATGATCCGCTGCACTTGGTGATCGACTCGTCAGAGCTCCCTACAAACAAGCGGCTGCTGGAGGAGAATGGGTGAGTTGTGTTTGGTCTCTTTGCTAAAGAAATCAGGCAAAGCTAAAAAGCTGTGTGATGGCTAGTATTATGGCTGGGACCCTATATGTACTGTTGATGACGTTAGGTGCTGTTCTGAGCATTATTTGTGGCTTTAGAGTGGCTTTTTGGTTGAGGTTTACATGTGGAGCCATAGACCGCTGTGAATGTCTATTTGTGGTCGTTACTCAAGTTGGTACAACTAGAGAAGCAAGCAACTCTGTGCTAGAGTGTGTTTGACCATGACTTAATTATGTCCCTTTAACACTGGTGCCTACATGGACTGGGAAACGTCCACAATTTGGAAATAAGAAGACAAATCGGTACACTGAATGTCCTTCAAAGTCTTGTGCCCCTTAAAGCCGGCAAATAAATATACCTGCTTCACAATAACTCTAACACAAAAGGGATCATATTCACAAGAAGGGTTAACAGAAATCAGGACATCATCATTCATGCATTCATAGCCCATGGTCGTGTGCCCTCCCTTTCATTCAGGAATAAACCACATGTCAGGTTGTTTTGCACACCCAAAACTCTTTAAATGCTAAATGTTTCCAAGCAAGAGCAAAACAGACCCCAAACTGATGTACATGGATAGTTACTGCAGTGTTGGGCTGCAGATGGAGCTGCTGTTTGTTATGCAAAATAGTGGGATATCATCCTCTGTGACAGACAGCTCTCCACAAGTGTGAAGAGTGCAGCTTCTTAATAACCATCATTAATGTCCATCAGCAGCACCCCCCTTATCTGCTTCCTCCTTGAAAACGAAGAGATCAAATGCTCAGAAAAACAAACTCCACCTCACTTCATAGAGCTCCCCTGTGTCTTTAGGCTTATAAAAGGTTTACCAGAGCTATCCCCCTCCTACACTACCTACAATGCTCTTTGACAGCAGCAGTTCAGTCTGGGATTTTGATGTGTCATGCTAGCTTTGTCCTGTGTGGCCTTGAGTCAGGATGAGCAGCAGTCTGAGCTCATTTCTTTCTAAACCTGCACCAATATTTTCAAACACATTCAAAAGAGGGATTTCTCTTAATTAAGCTCCATGTATTCAGGGGTCAAAGTTCAATCCAACTGAAGTGAAGTGCTTTATAAGCAAATATGTTTCACTTCACTCCTCGCTGAGATGAATTAAGAATAAAGCTTTTAGTCTAAAGCTCCAGAAACTTAGTGCGAGTCTGTGGAGCTGCAGTTTTAGCTGAGGTATGTGAAATTTAAAATGTTAATGACCTCAGCTTATAACGCGTTTTTAACCTCACAATGCCTTACATTCATCTGTATTACCTTCTTCATTGTACACTGCTTCTCCATTTAAACCTCTAAAGGGATTCTGGGTACTCTCGTGATGCAGAGGTCATGTATAGAGTTTGACATTCAGCAGTTTTTGAGCCAGTTATTGAGTCTCTATAGAGCTCCATGTAAAAATGCACAGCTTTACAGCAGAAGTAAATATGTTTAAGGATCTAAAGCACTTTCACCACTCATGAGAAGATTTTATTGGCATGCAGTCTTTCAGAGATCTTTCTTCCGTCAAATTGGACTGAGTATTTTCTTTTATGTGTTTAGACATGGGGATGTTTCTTTTGTGGTGAGTAGTGGTCAGATGCTGCACCAAAATAATTTCATAACAAAACAACAACAACAAACTAGAAAACATGTGAATTACCCCTAGTATGAATTTGATAACCTAGCATTTGTAACATCTCAATACTTTTACCATAATAACTTACATTAAAACTGGAAAGCAACAGTGATGTGTCAAAAACAAAGCTTTGAAACGCAAAGATAAGGTGACATTATAGCATCTTCTTTTTATATTTCACCCTAAAACAACAGTGCAGATTCGGGGAGAAAATCAACAGCATATGTGATGGGATTCATAAACCAAGACACGGTCCCTCCCCAGCTCCAAACTCGCTGATTGAACATCCAAACCTCAACATCTTCAAGTCCAGAATAAGCTCTGATAAAAAGAACACATCTGCACCCTGCAGTGCTCTGAAACGAGCTCTCTTCAGGAGAAATCCTCGAACTTCTTTCATTTGTTCTTGTAATTAAGTTGTCGCTTTTTGCTGAACACACAGGTGTTATTGATGTGGCTTTCTTACAGCCAACAGCTGAAGCATAGGACAATAAATCAAATCACAACACTTGCATTGCAATCCACATTGGGCTGTGACTGGCTGGTAATTTGCAACTCAATGATTGGGGCTGGAAACAGTCTGAGAGGGCAGATTGTATTAACTCATACCAAACTCAGCCGCTCTTAAAAACAACAGGAAGTACAACCATAGCTGTGTGTTAAAGCGCTGCAATAACCAGAAAACAGAGTCAAACTGAGTCACAACCCAGGATTTGGTTTCTATAGGCTGCCCCTGCTCATCTGTCGGCTTAAATCGGACAGAAAACAAAAGATCTGAGATTAGATGAGCTCCAGATTTTCCCGCGCTTTTCAGTGTTTCCAATCATCATCCTCACGCCAAGGGAGCTGCAAAGCAGGGCTGGGATAAAATGCTAGGCGAAGAATGAAAACTGGAGCACAATGTGGTGAATGAAAGAGTCTCTGGAGAATGAAAAACAGAAAGGAGGAAGAGAAAAAAGAGGGAAATTTGAGGGTCTTAGCGTTTCAATACAGGAGGAGGAGGAGGATTGACCCTGAACATGCGGACAATTAACCTTCAGTCCAGCAGAGAAAAGAGAAAACTGAGCCCTCACAGGCTGTACTCTGATAACTGAACACACTATAAAGCCTGAGAAGATGTTCATTTTACACCCTGAACTCTGCTCATCTGTCTGAGGTATCACTTTTTTTGACTGTTGGATTCACACAATAATCATTCACCATGTGAGTGTTGTCAGCAAGAGTTCAGGAAGTCAAAGACAACACCGAGCTTTAGTTCAGGGAATAAATCTGAAGACTTTAAAGATCTGACAGCTCCTTCACAAAGTGTTTTATCTCACAGGAAAACTGTATCAGCCTGTCTCAGGGATATTAAGAGGAATATCCTGATGAAACGCTGATCATGTGAACTTCAAGGATGACCCAGGAAGAAGATTTTGACAAGTCTGACAATTAACCTTTTTTTTTTTAAATTCAAACAAACATGATCCTGGTTAGGAGTTTAGATATTCTCTGTTTAGTGCTGCTTCTACCCTTCACCTCAAGATAATAAAAAATGTGGTTATACTTAACAATACCTTATGAAACAATGTGATACAATTCACTATGATACTGTGATGCAATGATAATATGATACAATATGATAAGATATGATACAAAACGAAATTATGTACAATACTATATATAATACAATGATACAATATGATGATACAATGCAACACTAAACTATAGAATACAAAACCATCCTATACAATACGATACAGAATTCTATGATACAATACGTTATGGAACTCTGATATGGTTCAACTCAAAACCAGACTATACAATCTGACAGGACCTTACATATGATACTAAATATGAATTATATGAAATGATGTACAATAGTGTAAGATACGGTGTGATTCCATGATGCAATATGATCATAAAATGCAATACAGTAAGTAGGAACTGGTCAACTGCAGAGTTATCAGTGGATGTGTCAGTGGGCCATTCAGAGGGCTTTTGTGGTTACTCAAGAGACAATCCAACTGATGATCAACATTTGTGATTAAGAGAAAATCGAGCTTTGACTAACACCATGTCTGTCTCTGACGCCAGCAGCAACCTACACCTGCAGAGACACCAATACCTTACGGCATATAGATTCATATGATAAACTAAAGCTCAATGCTATTGCTAGTTTTATAAACGGCTACACTGACAGATTTAGCCTCTACACAGCCATCTCCCCCGCCACAAAAGCAGTGATGCCCTTCAAGTCCGCCTGGTTCTTTCTGCAGAAAAAAAGATGCATTTCTTGTATGTTCTTTTTACAGCCCTGATATGTATGACAATGTGATGCTGAAACGCCAAAGGATTTAGTACCTCCTTGTTTGGAGACCTATAGCTACTGAAGTACAATTCATCTAAATTCTCACAGTGCTCATTTAAACAACTCTCCTCTGAACAACAGGTTAGAATGTTAGCTATGAATTTATTCTAGTAGGTAATGACTTTATTCAGACTTTTTTCTCCTAAGTGATGACCCTATTCTCGCAAGTTAACGACTTTCATCTTGAAGTCTTGTTTTTATTTTATTTTATTTTATTTTTCATAATGTGGCCCTAATACTCCGTCATATGTTACAATGCAAAACAATACAAAATGTTAGGACACAATATCACATGATGATATGTTATGGCACAAGACTACATAATACATGATATAAAACAGTACACTATGGTACAACACAGTATGTTATGATGCTTTGGGATACATTATGATTTGATACAAATCAATACAATACAATGAGATGAATACCACTGGTTATGACAGATTAATACAAAAAGATATGATGCAAGATTTTATGGTGCATGCATTGCAATAGTATACAATACAATTCAATGTGATCTAATATATGATACAATATAATAGAATAAAATTTATATTTATAACACATTACCATTTCATACATTATGATATGTTACAACAGGATATGTTATAAAGTGATAGAATATAATGGGATGCATAATGACACAATATGTAAGTTACAACACACCACAGTTTGATAGCTGAAAATGATGTCATGTAATTCAGTAAGCTATAATCTGATTTATATGATATGATCCAATATATATTTTTTTATGAATTAATAGAGCACTGTTGTCCCCCAGATGCTTTGTTAAGTTCAGATTCAGTTCAGATATTAAAACAACAACCACTGACAGCAGTCCACCTGGAATCTTTCTTTAACACTTTGAGCTTAACCATTATTTATCACCACGTAGCTTCATGATCTGTGCTTCATGATGGATAACAGTGTCCACAGAGCTCTCGGCTGTTCAGAAGCTATCTTCTAGATTTCAAAATGGCATTTTGGACCAAAAAGGTCGATGCAGACTGGGATGATTTAAATTTACTATTGCATGGCAGCAGACTACAAAGGTCAGCAGCTCCTGCACAGAGACATTAATCCTGCATTACCTGCTGATGCTCATGGTTGATGTTTGTTTTCTTCTTGAAAATGGTCAGATGATGGCACAAGAGGTCAGGACTGATTTCACTAATTAAGAGTAAATGACTGTTTGGATTTTTCCCAAAGTTTCAGCTTTAACCCAGCATGAACCCGGATGACGCCTTGAACGGAAACAGGGTGAGAAGGGTTTCAACAGTGGTTCACAGAAATTCACCTTCAGTTTCATTGTTTTATAGGGTCAAGAGATCGCCCAAGCACTGCTGAAGCCCTGGGTTCAGGATTTAAAAAAAAAAAAAAATAGACCTCTATAACTCCCAGCTCATGAGGGTGATAAACACAATAGAGCTGTATGTTTCCTTTCAGCGTACAAAGTACCACAGGATAAGACTCAAAAACATGGACCAGACCGGGTTTACAAAGATCAGATTCTACGTGGCACATAAGAGGAACTTTATTCATCGTCAAAGGAGCAGCATTACAACAGTAAAGTAAGAGGCTGAAATAAAGGCCTAAAAATAGCCAACAGAAATCCTGGAGTATGTGCCGCCTAAATAAATTCCACATGGGGGGAAAGCCATTTGTGGTTAACACAGATTACAAACTATCCTCTGATGGCTTTTCTGCTCAGCTACATTGAGCAGCACATTCAGAGGCTGTGTGTCCACATCTCATAAAGCGTTCCTCAGGGAGAATAAGCCATGAAACACGGCCGCTAACAGCCATCGACACCCGCAGGAACACAATGTGAGCTAAACTATTGGTGCTTGGCGCCACACGGCTGCTAAGTGCTGCTGGAATATCACGGTTTGCCCATGTACTCGCGCTGCCTAATGGTCATGTAAGCAGACTGTGGACACATCATTAGAGCTGACTCCTGTGTGTGTATGTGTGTGTGTGTGTGTGTGTGTGCGTGTCTGTGTGCGTGTGTTTCAGTCTTGTAAGCTCTGGCCGTTATTTTTCTGCCTTGATTTATTTGAGCCCGTCTTTTATATTCAATCTCTGGCACAGATTTAATGCAGGTGCTTTTATTCAGCCCTTTAAAAACAAAGCTGGGAATATTTCTATGCCTTCTATTAAAATACTATTAATCTAATAACCCACTCAATAACACTAGGATTGTCTTGCAGCACTTATGCAGTCCTATGTCAATATTTATGCTGTTGATGCATTCAGCGATCATAGCAATGCTTTTAAAGGACTCGTTTGTGGTGCATACATCAGTTTGAATGGATATATTTAATTTACAGCATTTAGCAGGAGCTGTTGTGTGCACACAAACCTAGCAAACCTGATTAGAAGATATGCAGGAGAGGGCAAATGAATGAGGCGTTGCAGTCAAAAGTCTGGTTCATACTACTGCATGACTCTAAACTGTAGTAGCCAGCTCCATCATGAGCACTCTTTACTTGTGGCATGGCTGCATCACCCTGCAATACCATGTCTAAGCCATAGTGGGCAGTATGATGTTTATGGTTGTCATGTAGCTGATTTATGTTGTTGCACTGTAACTGTTGCAAAGAGGGAACATCGGAGAAGAATCGGAGTAAAATTATTTTACCTGACGATACAACCATGACTTTAAAACACTGTAAGCTGCTTTTTGGTTGTCATGGAACAGACAACAAACCAGAAATAAATACTGAAGCCTCTTCATGAGCCCTAACCCAAACAAGACCACCAGCAACAACACTGACTTCCTCTGTACCTGTACATGTATGTGTTAAATCCACTAATAATACAAAAAATTTACCCAATCTGCAGCAGATGATCACTTAGCTCCCGACTGGTTCCTCAACTTAGCAGCCACGCTGACCGGGACCCCCCAAGAGTAAAACCTGGTCCACACCACACTGGCTCTAGTGACGAGGCTATCGCGTTGTCCTATATCCTGGCTGATTTGTAATTATATTTTTCAGAGCTTTAATTTCAGCTGATGATATGCAACTTACAGATTCCTGTTAAGTAAAATTTCTTTTTTGGGTGAAATCTGGTTTGAACAAAGACGATTTAACCACTGGTTGTCTTTTCAGTGGTATCCGTAGTTCATTCAGTGTCTGTTCAATGTAAAATGAGCAGATGGAAAAGTATTCAAGTCTACTTGCAGAAACCTGAACCCTCTTTTGTCTCTCGCTGCATGGCTGAGGTAGTTGCTCTTATCCTCTAATAACAGGCTGTAAAATTTATTATTCATGTCGTTTTGCAGGTTTATCCAGTAAATAAGAACAGGGTCTGCACTGCATGACGTCTTCTTGTAACATGATTATTTTCCAACGATGAAACAGAAACTCCCTGCTCACATCTGATCTCTGATTCGAGTAAAACATGGAAACTGTTCCCCTTTCGTTGTTTTGGATTTACATGCAGAGTTGAGGTTCTTGCTGGTGAAACTCAGACGCTAATTCGTCTCGAGGCACCATAAATCAAAGCCGGTTTTATTTTGTCAGCACGCAGATGGCCCAAATACACAACTCACCTCAATTAAGACCTGAGGAGGGGAGCTAAACAGGGAGAGTGTTTGGAGAGGAGAGGGGGCACCTGTTCGCCTGTCATATCTGCAGCTCTTCTGATCAGCGGCTCCCAGCTTCCCCCTGAGCTGTTTCAATGCTGAATTAATGATGGCAAACAAAGCCAAAGCCTCCTCTCAGCCCCTTTGTGAGTTCATTCTCCCTCCACTTTGGTCCCTCTCAACTAATCTTCAGTGTCACACTTAATGAGATTTTCAGTTTGTAAAGTAAGTGGAGCAATAACTCCCCCAGCACACGCCACTGCTCCCGCCGCCGCCGCCGTCTCCACCATCCCCACCCTGCCTCAAATGCTTTTAAGCAACCACTCCTGCACCTTCTGTCTCTCCCCCCTCTCAGTAAAGGATGCATTATGAAGGATTATTACTTAAACAAATCGCATTGAATTATTCACACTGCAAATACTCAGCCCAAAGTACAGCGTGCGTAAAATTTATGGACTTATTTGCTTCATTATTCAAAAGGTTCCTGCAGCTCCTTCAGTCCTGAAGAAAAACAAACAGTGAGTCATTAAATATCATGAAAATGAGATAAACACGCATGTCTTCATTAGCTGAATTAAAGAGAAATTACAGTAGCTGTTCATTTTGTTGCGTCTGCCATGGCTGTTTTATTTCATGTAATTAGTGTTTTGATTAGAGCGATGTTGACTGTAATCCTTCGGGGCACTCAGGGGATGTAATAGAGAGCAGCTCATTAACATTTGACTTGTGAGCATAGCGATATTAACTTTTACTACATACTGCTGTTACACTCTTGCTGTCATTCGACTTAGTTTTAATCTGAATGTTAACCTCAGAGATACCGAGTCAGCCTCGTCTTTTGTCTTAAAATACTCTCCTGTTTTCATTTCTGTCTGTGTCCATGAAGCTGCTTTTAAGAGGGTGCGGCTGAATGTGTGGGATCCAGAGAATGCAAAGTACCAAGACTAAGAATGAACACCAACGGTCTTAGTAACCACACCCCTGGGGTATAATCTACCAAGCCAGTACATCACCCATCAGGTATTCTTTATGTATTCGGCTTTACCAACCATGACAAAGAAGACTAAACGTGCTAAATGGTCCCATGAAGCTGCTTATAAAACCTTTAAGTTACTTTGGGTGTGTGAGATACATGTGACAAATCACAAACATGGATGAATTGTAATGTAATTCAGACACAGAGGAAACTGAAGAAAGATAATGAAAAGTGTTTATTTAGTAAATGTGCAAAGGGGGGTCTTACAAGACCACTTTCCCTCCATGTGCAAAGATCCAACAGCTATTAATAATCAAGTATAACTACACTGCAAAGAATTTGGGACTAAGATTTAAAATCTTATTTTAAGACATAAAATATATTTTGGCTTGTTTGAAAAGTTATTTAGTCATTTTCAGTCCTTGATTTACAGTACAATCCTAGATTAAGCAGGAAGACATCTTTATTGACTCTTTTAGTCTGGGTGAATTACTGTTAAAATAAGCTGAGTTAGTTGTTTCTATACTGCAATCCTGCAACAGCCCGGGATCAGACTCTCACCATCATTAATTGAATTGCATGCATTGTATTTAATTGCATTGTAAGAGGCATGGCTTGTTAACAGCAATCAGAAGCTCCACACACACACACACACACACACACACACACACACACACACACACACACACACACACGACTTTAACCAACCATCAGCCTGTGGTGATTACATACTGCTGATGACAGAGACATAAATATACCCCCTTAGAAATGGCAGCATGTAAATGTCAGTATGGTACACCTATATAGTGGCGATGAATGAGCTGCTCCAAAAACTCTTTCTTTATCTCATCGTGGTGCCTGTGAAAATCCTCATTCTAGCTCTATGAAGCCCCTACCTGAGACTCTTTTGGCTGCTTTTCCAGCAGTAGTATAAAGTCAGATCAGGCATATTCTTGGTGTTAGTTTTTTCACAGCTTCATAGTCAGAAACGGCCGGAAAGTCTTGCCTTTACAGGAAACAGAGGCCAGTTGTTTGCACCAACGTGGAAACCGAGCCAAACGAAAACTTTGGTCACAGAAAGGTGGTAAAAAGGTTATTCTTACTGGCAAGGGGAGCATAAAATATGAGAAGAGCACCTCACCGCAAGTTGATCAGGATGAAGTTTTAGGGAAATTTTTACCACACACAGAGACAGGGAGGACTCTGCAGCTTGTACTGGCTTTGATTATGGACATCAACATAGAAAGAGCATTAAAAACAAAGTACTTTCTCTGTGACTCATTAGATATTCATGGTATGATGTGATAATTATAATAACTGAACATAAACATGCCCACAGCCTTTCTGGTAATTGAGTTACTCAAGTTTTGACCTCTTTCACAGAGTAAATTCACAGTGCTTTTCAAATGTTTCAAATAGGGAAAAAAAAACTAAATCAAACCAGAGCTACAGACCTTAAAGCAAAATAACAACAGGAAATATGGAGTCTAGCCTGAGTGAAAAGCTCTTCTATTGCTTTTGCAGACGTCTATAGAGGCTGCAGAGTCCATGCACTGTGGAGCCAACCAGGAAAAATTTAGTCCAGTCCTTAGGGGTTGATAAACTTGAATAACCTCCTCCACATTCAAAGCTCAGACTTCCCACCGCCAGAGACATGCAAAATATATATTCAGCAATATGATTGAGACTGGTCTGCTGCTTTATTTGATTTCCCTACACACATAATGAAGTTTATTCTCCTTTGCAGAGCTGCCATGTTGGGAGCTGAATTGAGAGTGTGCAGCAGCTGACCTGGGGTCAGGATGAGGAAGAGGAAGAAGCGCAGGCAGGTAAAGAGAGAGTGCAGCCACAGCTCATTGCTATGCAGAGTCACTACCTGAAATCAAATTAAAGCGATAATCCAATAAAGCAGCATTTTGGCTGGAGCCGACACCAGAGGACCTCATCTCACACACATGACAAGCTGTGATCAATAAGATATAAGAGCTGCAGGCGTAAATAAGTCAGCCGAGACAAAAAGACCTCGTCACAGGGTCACAGCGCTCTTTGTATCAGCTGCCTGTAATTACATTTCAGAAACGGACTCTGTTGAACATTGATTTCCAGGTCAAAGAGTGACTTTAAAGAGGAGGAGGAGGAGGCCCCTTCACTTTATTGCACCTTCACTGAATTTGGTACGTCAAACTGAAGGGTATCTGACTGTTTATTCTGACTGTCTTCCTTTAACACCATCAGAGCCAAAGTTAAGCATTCCTCCACCATCCATCTCGTCAACTATCTCCATTAATCTATCCATCCATCCATCTATCTATCCATCCAACCCCCTTCAGCCTGATTTTCTTTTTTATTCATTTGTCTATCTGGTATCAATTCATTCATCTATCATCCATGTACACAATCATCTTCACCAATTAGTTTATCCATATATCCACCCATCTATCCATCTTTTCATCCAGTTATCTGTCACCTATCTAACCATTTCCATCCGTCTTTTCATTTATCTGTGAATCCCTCCTTTGATACATCTATATCCATCAGCTATATCCATCCACCCATCTATTTTTTCACCATCAATCCAACTTTCTATCTATCTATCTATCTATCTATCTATCTATCTATCTATCTATCTATTATATATATATATATATATATATATATATATATATATATATATATATATATATATATCTTAAAGCACAAAATCCAACGAGATGATGCTGAAAGTTTATTTTGTACCTTTTTAAACCTATGTCAGACCACAGAATCTGCAGCCTAGAAGACAAAGACTCTACTTTCCCTACAGTGGCGAATAATACTGTCGACCTTTTTACTTCTACATGATCAGTAAAGATATAAGAAGTATCACTTTGTCTACAGTTGACATTCAGATTGACTCAAAATAAGAAGTTCATGACTGAGCGGTAAGTTAAACAGCATGTCATGAAGCCATAGGTGACATTATCATTAGTATTATATTAGTATTTAGAGTGAACACACAGGGAGAGTACCTGTGACTTCCAAAGATGAGAACAGAAAAAAAACGTTTATATACAGCTGTGTTCGAAAAACCTGGATCCACCATTTCTGATGAAACACATGAGAGTTTGAAGATTCTTGGAACAGGTCAACCTTTGAAAACCAGCACCATGCTGAGTGATGGTGCAGTTTACCTGGATATTTTGGCACCACTTTTGAACATACCTACAAAAGTGAGCATAAAAACAGAGACCTTTTGAACACCTTCATCAGTGTTTGAAAGTCTACTTCACAGGGCGATATATATACAGTACCTCCTATACTCTTTATTTCAACTCAATAAGTCAGCTGCATGAAATGTTTATTATTATTATTATTATTATTATTATTATTATTATTATTATTATTATTATTATTATTATTATTATTATTATGTTAAAGCATTTTAACCTGAAGATGGCGCTTTGAGGAAAAAGTGCCCCTAAATGGTGACTTGGATCAGACTGGCAGCACCACTTTTTTACAGTTTTTCTCAGTCGCTTTGGTTCATTTCTCAGATCAGAATGAAAGTTCTCATAACTATTAGTTCAACCTCCACAACACTGAGTCATTTGTATACATCATCGTAGCAGTTTCTCATTCCTCTGAACAAATTGCAAATGCTCTTTGACATATATCAGTTACTTTGATACAATTTTCTGCAGTTTTATAACATTATCATTTGCTTCTGTCATGTTAGTCAAAATGAACTATACTTACGAATGATGAATAGTCATTTCCTATCAAAGTAATAGTCCTCATTTCATTGCTTAAGTCATTACATACAAAATTGTTGAACCAGTTTTCAAAATCTGTCAAGCTGATTTCATACATACCTTTATCGTGTTTTTTTCCTGAAAATGTCCCCTAAATTGACCAATTGCGTTCAGGTGAACCTCAGCTTTAAATCATGAGGAGTTGCGTGAAGCATCAGTTGTAAACGATGACAAGCCACTTGTCCACAGTCACTCAGAGCTGAGTCCCATGAACCCTCACTTGGCAAGCATATGTAAACCAGCAGGACAGAGTGTGTACCATTTTTACAATTCTGTGACACAAAAATGGAAGGTCAGTGTCGTGGAGGAGGGGTGAGAATGTGGGAAGGAAGGGGAAGGGGACAAAGCCGGGGCAGAGGAAGAGGAGGGGAAGTATATAGGCAAATCCCTGATGAAATTAGGACTACACTTGTGGACCATGTTGTCAATCACAGCCTCACTATGGCTAAGGCTGGTCGGCGGGTAAAACCAAATGTAGGGAGAACCACTGTGAATCGTATGTTTGTTCTAAATAAGTGACTGTGATTTTTTTATTTTTTTTTTTTTTTTGCACAAAGCTGTAGAATAGCAAAGAGCAAATGCAGTAAATGTCTTTTACTCAGTTACCTCACTAAATACAGTAATGTGTAACTTGACTGCAGTTTTCAAATGGCTGTACAGGTAGTGTATAGTGCTGTCTTGAGCATTTTCAGGTAGTGCCACCAAGATCTGATATTATTATACAAAGCCATTTGACTGTCGTGTTCATGAACAATGATGTTTGGACTAATTATTTTAATGACACAGACAGTTTCATTGACATGAATACTTGCTTTTGAGGAATCAACTATTCATTTTGAGCAAGTGACGCACTTTTGCAGGTTATCAACTAGGTTTTGCAGTTTGTTCTAATTTTTCTGAGAATTGCACTTACTGTTGTGCAAATGTTAATAATAGTTATGTGAGAAATGCACCAAAGCAACTGAGAAAAACTGTAACAACTTTCATTTCTCATTGTATTAGAGAGTTACATCCACAGACAACAGTACTACACTTTTTAGAAAGAAAAAAAAAAGTGACCAGCATAGGTGGGTGAAGTGATTCTGGGGGAATTGGTCACAGATGATGGGCCTAAATGCACCTCACAGCTATGAAAGTTATCTTAAAATGAGCTCAATGACTGTCCTCCACATAACCAAAATAAATGTTACAAGAAGGTGCAACACAGCTGCACAGAAACTCTACATTGTGGATTGCTTAACGTAATGGGACTCTTTATATATGAAAGTTCAGACATTTTTTCCCACTGAGAGATCTCAAAAACAGACTCTATCTAATATATCGGTGCACTCTTCTTCCAGATTAAGATAACATTAAATTTCACCTGATCATGTTGGCAAAAAGCATCAGGCCAAAGAAATGCTGTATGAACACCCTGTAAAGACTGTCTCCAACCATCTAATTAATGCATCCAGGTTGATATTATCTTATTAGGTGGGGATAAGTGGAGCCAACCTTCGACAGAGTCAGAGACCAAGACCAAGTCTGAAACAATGTGGGCTCAAGGCTGAGACAATTAAAACTAAAGGTGGCCTTGGGGAGCAGACTGGAATAATTCATGATTACAAATGCAGAGAGTCTGACTGCTATCAGCATCCACAGTGACTGCTGGCCCCGGTGGATTAGACACAGAGCGATTTTAGAGAATATTAACCATCACAAATCATTATTTGGAAAAAGGCAGATAAGAACAAATGGCTTTCCTAGATGTGACAAAACTGCAAAGCTAACAAAACTGATAACTAGATAAACAGCCAGTAATGCAGGACTGTTTTTATTCGCTCTTACAGTCAACCAGCAGTGTCTGCCTCTGTGTTTGCTCAAAAAGACGTCAGTCACTAAACTATTCATCTGAAATAATACTTCACTGTTTCAACTCAGAATCAGGATTTATGTAAAACATGGACATGGCAACTTCCTGTCGTTTTGAGGCTCTTTACAGTATCTGAGCCTCCATCAAATCACAATTCAGTCCGAGTCTTAACTTACCTTGCTTGTTTCTCTCTCTCTGTATGTTCTGTACGTTAATCTTGTTTTACTTACAAGTGGCACTCTGGGCTGAAAAAGACCTGAAACTTAAGATTAAGACAATCAGCTCATCACTAGACCACAGTCCAACAGCAGTATTCACACATGCACACAACTCCCAAAAATGTACCAATTTTGGAGGCTGTGGGCTGCATCTGACAATGCAAACAGACAAAATTTACAGCCAAACTTTATCAAGAATACTTCCTGCCGACCTCCAAGAAACATTTCCACAAGAGTTCAAGGAGAGTTGAAGCCAAAACGCACATCCAACATTTCAAATCGAATATTTTCCTCCTCTGCACAAATAATCCTTCACATTTTTGACCCTGTTACTGTAACAGCTCAGTGCCAAAACCTCAATTTATCCTAGAGAGCATGAAGAAGGCGTTTCCTACTTTTGATGGACTGTAAATCATCAAAAATGAAGATGGATTTGTGCAGGCTAAAATTACATGAAAAAAAATCATTTTTTGTCTGAAGCTATGAAGGGCAAAATGACAAAAACATAACTGAAACTGAAAGGCAATTGAGTTAAAAGACTTAGATTAGGACTCAAACAGCTGCAAGAGTTAACACAGCTCTCCTTTGACTGGGGAGACTTTCCATTGATGGGCTGAACAACTTTGGAAAACTGGAGGACAGAGAAGTCCCTGGCCCCCCATTTTAGTGTTTTTTTGTTTTTGTTTTTTTTTCCCACTGGTAATATTTGTGCCTTTTTAACTGTAAAAACAGAGTGTCATTGTATTTTAACATGATGACAGGAAAGGCTGCTATCTATCTGACCATCAGTATAGAGACAGGCCGTGTCTGTGCCGTTATTATTGATGCTTCAAGCAGCAGCAGCAGCAGCAGAGAGATGATCAGCAGGCTGCAGAGATTTTTCCCTCCTTTAAAAAACGATCAATGACTGATGAGTTTTGATATGAAAGTAGAGTGACATGAAAAACATGAGAGCATGACTCACATGTTCAGGACAGATCATCAAAAGGTTAACAGATCCCGTTTTGTCCACAGGGGGCGCCATAATGAGACTCCACAGTGGAGTGCGAGTGAAAAGCTTTATTAATCTAATAATTTAATAATGAACACTCAGGAGATTCAGTGAAGTTATAATTGAAAGTCCTCCCACAGCTTTTTTTAATAGAATCAAAGTGATGTCTAATCAATGCCTTTAACACTGCCTTATCACTCTTTTCCAATTAAATTCACACCAGCTGCTTCCTATTCAAAGCGTGTTTCCCAGCTGCAGCGCCTCCACACACTCCTGTGGCGGCGGTTTATTTTTATTCCAATGAAGCCCGCTGAGCGCTCACCTGCATCTTTGAGCGGCTGCAGCCTCTGAGATGCCGGCACGAGAGGATATGAGGCCCGCCACGCTACACGAATGTGGATTCTGGGGAGGCTCAACTGTAAATGGACAGCAGCTCGCTGAGATTAGCCCTTATCGGGTCAGCTGAAACCCGAGTGTGAGGATAAGGGGGCGGGGCCAACGCTATCTCCCCCCGCTCATTTTTGAACACCATAAGCCAGGTAGATTTAGGCTGAGGCCCGTCTGTCCCGGCTGCTAATGGGAAAATCAAAGAGCTGTGTCGCGTCTGGAGCCAGAGGGCGGAGGCCACTAAGTGAACGCCGCTCTCCTGATTTCACGCCACGTCTGTCTTTCTCTCTTCGCCTCATCAAAGCTCAGCCGCAGAGGAACATGAGCTCTTATCCGTTACCTGAGGACTAATTGGCCCTTTAATTCCATATCAGATCTGTGCTCACTTCAGCGGATCTCAGCTGACTGAGGGGCCGCGCAACGTCATCGTATCAAAGCTCTCCGTGGAAGGATGGCACTCAAAGGAAATGTCAGGCGTCTCATTCTGACTGGCTTTGAGAGCACGGCAGGTACGTCTGAGGGTGCGTTGCTGGTCATATCTCTGCAGACTGGCTGTTACTATGACAATGTGTTCCTGAAAAAGCATTAAAACAATGACTCGAATACTTCCAAAGCTTGAACAGCTGTTCATTTTCAGCCTCAAACTGTTCAAATATTACCAAAATGCACAAAAAACACCCAAATATCAAACCAAGATAAAATTCTGTGATGTGACTTTAACTTTCATGCAACACACCATAAAAGAACAGCTAATGCGCACCTAAGGGTGCAAATTCAAAGTAGTCTGCCTGATCTATCTTTGCTAATACCGATTATACTTAAAAACAACAGCTTTGTTAAGACAAAACAGCTCATGCTTTCTTTTTTTTTATCCCCTGACACTCTCCACAATTACATCTGAGACATTACTGATGGTATTAGAAAAATACATGCTGAATATTATCAACATGCAGAGCACATTCATAAATATAATCTCTGCAGACATTAAGAGGCTCAAACTCCTAAATGTGGGACTGCCGTTTGAAGACGTTTTTTACAGTCTAGAAGTCCAAGTGCTCACTTTCCTTCAGCTTACTGACTCCAGATGAATTACCGCCACCATCTGGACTGGATGTCATCCAGCATCGGAGGGTCATTAAATGGTTTCGCCAAGACATCACTAATCAAGTACCGCTGTTTCGGAGTCAATACAGCAGCAGCAGCTTATTATAACCTCTGTAATCTATGGACCTCTTAGTGCTAAAATGTTCACCCATCTTGCACATCTTGATTCTGCAGGAAGTTTGTGTTTGACTGCAACACTAACAAATGTCCCAGTTGGTGTGTGTTATAATCACAGTAACTCTCATCCCAGTGTTGTGTTCATTGTTTGTATTTTTAAGTTATGTTATGTTAAGAGAGCAACATAAATGGTGTGCTTGAGCTGCGAGGTCATTTGCACCCCCAGTTAGAGAACTGTTGGTGGAAAAAAGGTTTTGCACTGCGATTTCACAAGACAGATGTGCAAGAAAAAAAGTGAGGTAATAAGAAAGTGCTCTAACTTTTCAAGAATGACCTTCATGAACAGTGTTATGGTCTTAGACCACCAGAAGTCAGACTGTTTGGCTGATAAAGTTCCAGATGGATCTTGGGTGGTAGATGCAGTTTTTGTCAGTTGGATAATGTGCTGGAGTTTTGCAGTCTTTGATAAACTCTTTTTGCACAGCTCTCTAGTATTCATAACACCATTTAAAGTATAACCTACTCATTGAAAACCAGTCAGTCTTATTCGAGCTCCTACAATCCAACTCCCAAAAGCCCAATTTGGAAACACGATTTGAAATCAGATGGTTTCATGCTTTTAGTAAGAGGTTTGTTCTCACAACAATAACAACACTATTAAGCCATCAGATTTCAATCATTCTTCTGTAAGAGAAGCCCAGCATTCACCAGACTCCAACCTGAGATTTATTGTTATTTGAAATTACCATCACCAAGCTTGATCAGGACAACAAAGGGGAGACATAAGTGTCGGGCTTCAACCTGAGCTCCACCCTGCTGATATCTTTACATTACATCTGCCTGCTCTCTACACTCCTATATTTCACTTTGTAGGCTCCACCTGCATACACATTGAGCATCAGAATAAAAACACTTTTAAACCATCCATGTTTGTGACAATGTGAGACCCCCGCTCTCAAACAAGCCCTGATATCTGAACAAAAGCTGCAGCTTGACTTTGACTGTGTGAGGACCTGGTCTTTTGTGTGGCTGCACAAACGGGCTTTTGTAGGAATAATGTCCATTTAAAATGGAGATTGTCCTCACAGTGTGCCTTTCAGCCTGATGCTGTGTACCATTAATCACAGAGGACAGCAGCGGCTGACATCCTCAGACAGGCCGGCTTTAATTGTACAGACCAGAGTGGAGAGGGATGGACCGAGTGTGTGTAGCTTATTTTAGCCGCTGTGGCATAGACTTCAAAAATGGACTCAGTTTGTACCTGTCCTCCCTAGTTTCTGGAATCTGTCCTCTAATGTTGTTGGTTTTTGGATTTTTATAGCCTTTTTCTTTATTGGATGGGACTACTGAAGAGAGAGAGGGATGAGACAGAGGTCAAAACCTTGTCTGTGTTGAGCTCTCCATGTCCCAAAACATGATGTTCAGCATCAGTGTCAGTTTTGTCATTGCACATCAAGAGAGAAAACACTTAAAGCTGGTCTGTCATCACCGGACCAAGATTTGTTCAGTGCACTTCCTTTTTCCAGAGAGCATTAGCAACAGCTGCATGCAAAAGTGCATCTGGAATCAGTTTGATGAACAATCAGAGTCCGGCAGTGTGTGATGTAGTGCAGGCTTTTTGAAGGTGCTGCAGCTGGAGGTGAATTTTGCCTTTTTATGTATGCACTTGAATTTGATCAACTTCGATGCTTGTGCTTTTTTTTTTTTTCTTTTTTTTTTTTTAATTTAAGTGACCATTTCATACATAACTGCACAGTCTAATATAACACATAGAGTGTCCAATTTGCAGCTAATGGGTGCCATTGATCAGACAAGCTTACAAGCCAAATTAGAAAATTCAGGTCCAAAAGGCTGTAGTACCCACATGAAGAATTTATGCAACACACTTCAGCCAATTTAGTCCAACCTGGTGAAAGAGTACGCCAGTTTTTCAACTTTTCAGCAAACAGTGGGCAACACAATGACCTTAGACATCAGTTTGGCTATTTTTTTATTATTATACTTATTATTTTGCATAATTTGGTTGATTATTTCCATTTGGAAATAACTGGCTTCATGGATTAACTCAAAAATCCATCTCTGACTGGCTTCTGAAATATATGAGATTTTTGGAATTATGGCTGATATTATCTGATGTTGATATTATTTTTTTTAATGCAGAATGACAACATTGGGATTTCTGTTCTATATGTTAGCTGACCTGCTCTGTAATCATTGGCGTAGGTATCCACCACTGAAAAAAACTAGATGGATCGATAACTGGCTGACACATTACTGATATCCAAATACGCTAATGAATTAATAATTATCAATAATTAAAGACACTTATAACATCAAATTGTTGCGATCATTTCTCTAAAGCTTCCATTTCAATTGAAAAGGAATTTTAAAAACTGTTTTAATGGGCAGCACCTGAGGTATCTCCACTACTCACTATCACGGCAACAGCAGATGAACCTCCCAGAGGTGGAAGCCGCCATTTTTGTTGTGTAAGAGAAGTAAGAAAAGGCTGTGTCATCTTTAAGGATCCGCCCACTTGTAAATAAAGGACTGTGATTGGGCAGCTGTATCTGAAGTCAGAGAGAGCGTGTAGAACCACGGTAACATTTCTGTGATCCAGAATGACTCCTTTAAGCCCTGAGATCAGACTGAACCAGGTGAAGATGGATCCAAGTAGTATTTTGTCAAAACTCCTTCAGGGCGTGAATGTCGTATAAAGAGATGATCTATAAATGCTGAAATAACCTGTGGAAGTTAAGAGCAGTCTTGTTTCATTAGAAACACCTCCAAGACTGAGATCAAATCAAAGTCTAAGGAAAAAAAGGATGAGGAGACTCTCACCTGTTACCTCCTCCATCTGTTATAAAGACTTAAGGAAGGCGAGGTGCCTCAACAAGCACAAAACCAGCTGCTTCTCTACCCTCATTTGAACCCACAATCTTAAAACACTAGCCACTCTGAATGATGGCTCCTCCTTTGCTTTGGCTGATATATTCAAAGCTTACACTCAGAGTTTCTGACACACAACTTGTGAGGAAGTGGAGTGTAGATTAGCTGGGAATGACTCACACTCGTGGCAGGGCAGGAAAAGCTGAAGCTTACAAATGAAAGTGGATTTAAAATGCTAGATTTAACCTTAAATGGCATTCGCTACGCTCTGTTATCACTCTGCACAACCGCTCGTTGGGGGGTCAGAGCTGAGATTTTCTAGTAAGAAATGTATTTTCCTCTGAAGAATATGATTTGAATAATGTCAAGATCCACTGCCGAGTTCTTTTACATTTTAATGCTGCAAGTTTGCCTGCGTTTCTACCGCTTTACATCCTGCTGCATCCTGTCCTGCAGGTTAAAATATCTGAGAGCTGCTGTTTTACGTGTATGCAGGAACCACATAGACTGAATGACCAGATGAAGCAGGGAGGTATTTTCCTTTCCTTCCTAGGGGTGTAAAGTAGGGCTGCGCCTAAAAATATATATATTTTTTAAATCAATTAATCTAATGATTTTTTTTTTCCGATTAGTCGACTAATCTATCGACTAATTTATTGATTATTCTAATGATTATTTTTTTATTAACAGATTTATATAACAATGAATTTAACCAAAATAAGGATTAAAAACTTGTCATATTAGTTTTTAATTCAATGATTTATTCTTGAAATCAAACAAAACAAAAATAAAAATATTTGCAAAACAAATCATTTGTCACATAAAATCTCTTACAATATTGCATATGTAAAATGCATGGCTGGGAATTATAGGGCTCGAGATTATTTCATAAATTATTATATATATTCATTATTTAATTGTTTTCCCTTTAATTTCCTAGAGACCTTGGATATGTTTGTAGGACAGCCAATATGCTTTGTTGTAAAATGTCTTATGTAACAACGATGGCTGTAGTAATAAAACAACAATAATAATGATGATAATAAAAATATAGGGCTTGAAAAGGCACTTTATGTAACAATGCATTGTGGGCCGAGGTCAGCATTATGCTGGCAACAGTGTTTGTTTACATTGCTGAGTAAGACACAGTGCTAGATAACAGGGTTTCCCCTTTATACAATTGATCACCACAGTTAAATAAAAGCTGCCACACCTTAAAAATTAGTTTTTTTCTTTCGGGATCTACCATAGACTCATATATGTGGCAGATCTCGCGTGCCCCAAGCAATAGCATTCACGAGCTATCAACGACGATCACACAGCTGATCAATTAGCAAGTTAAAGGACAAATAAAAGCAAAAAAACTGATGCTTCAACTCCAGGCTAAGTTCTTAAAGTGAATTAGAAAGGATGCAGGGCGTATGATGCAGTCTCCACTGTGGCTTTTGCTCACCAGTGGTGGGTTATGTGATTGACAGGTCACAGCTTGTCTCCTTGAATGAAAGCAGCGGGATCTTGGAAATGTGAACAAGGAAACCAGGAAGAACACGTGCAGTGATTGAGAGGTGCTCATAGATCATGTTCAAGTATGTTTAAAATCGACCCATTAGGTGGAGCTTGTTTGCCATCCATGCCTCCACTGTTACCTGAAGTAGCCATTGTCTATGTCATAATGCAACGCTTCGACGCATGTTTTTTGCGTTGACAAATTTTTGTAGTGGAATACGTCGACTACGCTGACGAATCGCCCCAGCCCTAATGTAAAGGTTAACCAGTTTGAACAGATTGCCAATTGTATTTATTAAGATCCAAGTGTACGGGTCATTGAATTAGTAACATGTCTAAAAACTGGTTGAGGAACTGTCCTCAAATCTGTGACCTGGTTGATTGAAGTTGTGCTGTTATTTCTGTACGTTTTGTTTAAGTTTTCAGTCTACAGACTTTTACCTTTTACATGACTTCTTAGTTGGTCAAATAGTGTTGGTTAGCTTGTGGGAGGATCTATGATGTGATATACCTCCCCTGTTCATAAGGACTTAAAAACTCCCCAAAAGTCTATCTGCCAATTCTCTGCAGAACAGCTGCTATGCAAGACTAATTTTACCTGCAAAGACCTGTGACTACGCCTGTAGTCCCAACCCCCAGTATTCAACATTTTTTCCCAGCTACAATGTTGTGAAGTCTACAGGCATCGTGGCATCACCCTTTACAGCATTTGTCAAGTCACAGTGGGCAGGAAGAACCTTTAACAGGCAGAAACCTCAAGCAGAACAAGACTCATGTTAGACTGTCATCTGCTGAGACTCAGCTGGGTTTAGAAAGGGAGAGAGAGATGGAGATGGAGAAAGAGAGAGATGGACAGAGGAGAGACTGATGTGTGCAGTTGAAGAAGAGCAGCTGGAAAACAGGAAGGTCTGCAACAGCAGTGAACCAGAGGAATCTACAGCATAATAGACCACAAGCCGATTGTGAGCCAAAATAAAGGCACGTCTCCATTTATGTGAGTTCTCTTTATTTACAGCTAACTCTTCTTGTTTTTTGCTGCATATTCTGCCATAGTAGTTGTTTAGGTGAGTGTGGCCAAAGTTAGCAGAGCCAGCACCACCAGCCTTAGTCCTCACTGTCTGGCTGCTTATGACTCTCGTTGAGTGTTTTAATGCTGTTTTAACAGTGTCATTTCTAACTTTCAGACACCATCAACATAACCCCCGTCACCTGTTTCAAAGATGAAAAAATAACTCCAAAGAAAGTTCTGGCATGATTTGCTCTGTAGTTAAATTTCATTCACCACGCAGCAGAAAGTAATTCTTCCATATGATTTCTATTGCATGCTTGTTCCTGTGATCTGAAGCTTTGCTCGTGATCAATAAGTCGGTGAATGTCTAGTAAGACACATTACTAATCCATACAGAAACAGCTGTCTTTATTTGGCGACATCTGTGATTTCCATGCATCGAATTAAGCTGCGGATGCCTGATCCTCGTCTCATCCCACTCCACCACACCCACATACTCACAAACACACACAGGAACACACACATGCAGGCAGAAAGACCCTCCTCTATTTGAATCTGGCTGTGAACTGTCTGATGTGATGCTGCAGAGATTTTCCACAGTATTTCACAGCCATTTGAACAGCTGCAGTATTAGCTGTACGCGCTTATTTCTCCTGCTGACGGAAAGCTGCTCACAGCCATTGAGGATTTAGTCCAACTTTTTAAAAAGAGGGGGGGATTAGAGAGCCAATTCCATCCCTGCATTCCTCACCAGGAGCCAGAGCTGGAGCTCAGCTGTGTGTGTGTGTGTGTGTGTGTGTGTGTGTGTGTGTGTGTGTGTGTGTGTGTGTGTTCGACCTCTTCGCTGTTGGTCCTAACAAGCTAAATAAACAGAGGAAGTGTGAAAAAACAGAGCGGCGGCTGAGTTTAAACACATGATTCATTAGCCAGGATCCTCAGGGGGATGATTAAAAATATTTCCTTGTGTGTTAAACAGTCAGACAGAAACATAACTGTCCTCCAGGGAGAGGAATAAATTAGTCAACGCTAATGTCTCTCAAATGATGGGACAAGATTTATGATTGGCAGCTGCTTTTTATGTTAGGGAGTGTGCAGAGATGATGCTCAGGCCTCAGACATGCGGATCCTCTTTTCCTCTGACACGCTGGCGTCTCGTTAAAGATGTTTCTCGCTCTGTCAGTCATTGCAACATGACATGACCAGCTCGAGGCGGACACCCAGAACCAGTACAGCACCGCTGCCCCGTCCTCCCCTCCTGCAGACTGAACTCTGCATTTATGCTGACTGAGCAAAATCTGCACCAGCAAACACATCCAATTAACTGCGCTTCATTTTTTTCTTCACTGCCTGAGCCATTAAGTCCAGAGCCAGAGCAGAAGAGTTTCTCCATTTAAGCTGAGTCAAAGATATAAACGGGAGTTTTATTGGGAAGTACAGGAGATATTCTGCTGCAGTAATACAGATCCAGCTCTCTACAACATTACAGCCATTATTCAGAAAGTCATTTTACTACTTATGACTGTCTTAGAGCATTCATTCATCAGGACTCATTATACCCCTGCTCTTCTGTTACTCCTCAGACAGCAGGTAAAATCTGCTTATGTGAAGGTGAATTTCTTTTTCATTTATCTTCTCCTCCACCTAGAGATACAGACGGGCCCATATGTTCATTCAGACATGGAGAAGAGTCCAGTCTATTGTCCTTTTACTGCAGAAAATGTGAGTTTATTTGCATGCGAGCAATCCTCCCACTTTCAGCATCTTTGCATCCCAAAGGTTTCTACCTCAGAGAGCAGTCCACCCAGTGTGATTTAGCTGCTGTAACATTAAGAAAATTAACAGTAAGTGCTGCAACACATATGGATACACAAAGAAGCACATATAAAACAAATATGCAATATGTTGTCTAACTTGCGTGCTAATTTTTTTCCAGTATTTTTTTTCTTAATTTAAAAAAGGGGAGAAAAAAGTTTAGCCATCATAATGCTTAAGTTCTATTATTTAACGTAAATGAGGAATAGATAATATCATTCAGATAATTTAACCAACAAACAAAATGTGTCCATTTTTCTTCTTTGTTCATCTTGTAGAAACGGCTTTTTGCATTTTAAAAACTTTTGGTTTTTTTGTGCAAAATAATCCAATAACCATCAGTTTCTTTGTTGTTCACTTAAGGCCGTCTGAAAAAGCCAAGCAATTCCCACTAGGTCGCACATTAAAATGCCCGTGTACCGGGTAAACGGTGAAATGAATGCGTTTACAGCAGGTTTAAGGTATGTAACACAGGTATTTAAGATGAGGAAATTACTTTTTTAAGCACACTCTTTAAGAAAATACAAAATCAGAGTGTAGTGATGTCCACAATTTAACCTTATTTAAACAGGAATTGATATTTCGACTAACTGAGCAGTCTGAAAGTAAGAACCGTGACAGACTACATCCAGGTAGTTGAACAGTGGCCACTGACTGAGCCACAACTTCAGCTGGAAGCAGCTTCAATTCAACATCTAACCTCTATTTAGGACGGGTAATAAAAAAAGAGAACGCTGGTGCTGCTGACTGGTGAGGGTGTCACTGTTTAACCATTAAGTCAGCACATCTCTAGCTTATTACAGGATAATAATAAGGACACAGGGTTGTCTATGCATTCAACCAAGTAATTTTAAAGAAGGCTGTTTTGACTCAAAAACGCTCCCAAAGAAATCTCAAGTCTTTTTAATCACGTTTGGAAAATGGTGTCAGCTCTGACTCTGGTTTCTGTGATTTTTCTTCAACCCTAACTTAAAAAAATTAAGTCATTGACTACAAAAATCAAACAGATGAAACCCCCACAAACTGAAACAGGTCTTTTTGTCTTATTTAAGTAAGTCTAATAAGACTTTGATAGAAATCACCTCAGAAATAAGACCCAAACTAGTTGTAATGACAGAAAACTGACGGTGAGGGAAGAAAACATTTTAAGCTCTGAAATTTAAAAAAAAAGTTGTCCTCTTATTTCAAAAAACTTAATAAAAGAACATTTTTTCCGGTTGCATTGGCAGATTATTTTACTCATTTAGAGCCATTTACCTCCTTAATTCGGTGTAATGTGCTGAAATAAGCCCCTTTTTTGGCTTGTCAGATTAATTTAGCTTAAATTCTGCAGGAGAGACATTTTATTAGAAATGTAAAAAGTCATTTCCCATTATTTGAATTTTTTGCAGTGCCGTAGGAAAATGGTCAGCCACATGCATCTTTGTTCTCATTTGCTTCTCTGGGTTTCAGTCGCAGGACAGAGCAGCATCAGTTCATTTACTGATCTTTGACTGAAACACATCTTTGGAGATGTTTAAAAGTTCAAACACCATGAGGGACTTTTTTCCAGCTGTCCTCAGGTCCAGTGGTGATCCGGTCTGTGTTGAACATGCTCAAAACCTCTTGGAGCCTCTCCTGCCTCATGCATATTCTCTTTGCACCGACACCTCCTGGACAGGCTGATCTGAAGTCTGTGTCCACCACTTCTCCTCAGTCAGAGTGGAGCTTTCTCTCTGCGTCCTGAGCAGCTAATGTTTTAAGTAATGGCTTGTGAGGCCTGACAGATCGGCCTCGCTCTCCCTGAGCTGCAGGCCTGACGCTCGGCGAGCAGGGAGCGAATCCATCAAAGCGACAGGATGAATTAGTGCCGGGACACCTCACTACCTGTTAGGAGGAACTCCCATCAGCAGTAATTGATTTGATAAATGCTGGAGCATACACAGGATGAGAGACGAGGAGGGATGACAGAGAGAAAGGTCTAAACTCTGGAAGCTTTATTAAAATCAGACGCCTGTTTACAACAACTTTTAATTCACCTCTAACAAGTTTACTTCACAAAACTCCAACTGAAGACAGACTTTGATTCCAGTAACTGCTATAACCTGAATTTAACTGCTGCCTTTAAACAACCAAAACACAATTTATCCTGTCCTTGTAAGTCCTTAAATCTTGATGCTACTTTTATCATGTTCTAATATATGAGCACGTTTTTTTTTAAGTGTCGAATTTCATAAACTTTCTCTGATTCATTTGGCCCAACTACTGTGGCTGCAATGTAGGTGATAAACCCCGCCTCCTCCATGTAAACAGATGGAACATGGGTCAAACCAAAAAATAAAAACTCCCATCAATTCAATGATTCTTAAGCTGCGTTTCCAGCGTTATAGGCTGGTTTACATTCAAGTTCTCATTTTTCTGACAAGTTTAGTTTAAATTTGGTTATTTGTTGCCAAAAAACAGTCATGATTGACAGCTGCATTAACAAATGAGGCTCCTGCAGCACTGTGTGCACCAAATTATCAGAGAAGAGGAGAAACTATGAGAGGAAATTTGAATAAATGTAATAAAAATGCATCGTCTCCTTCAAAAGCACCTGACTCCATCAGCCAAAACAGATTATTTATGATTCTTCAGCAGCAGCACAGCCGAGCTTTCATTCAGGGAAATAAAACAGTGATTTCACTTGGCTGTTATTTCTTTTTAATTTCCCAGGACGCTTTCTTTAAATAACAGTTTAATCTCATAGAAAAGACTTCAGAGACAGTTATTTTAATTAGCAGACTTAGTTCAGTTTGAAACAACTGTTGATGAATCCCCCGGAAGAGCTGCTTTATTTAAAGGAACTTACCCAGAAAGTGCAAACTCACAGTCTCAACTAGTTCTGAATCATAAGTCTAAACAACAAGCTCAAAGTTTCACTGCAGATTGGGCTCAGATCTGTGACTTTGACAAACACTGCACCAGAATAAGGATAAAAAAGACCAGTCCAGTTCAAAACGTCCGACCATGGAGGCTGCAGATCTCTGAGGTTTTAAACATTTAACAACAATACGCAGCAGTTTTACTGGATTAAAGACCTCAGATTCATCCCCACAAGAACCACTGCACCCGAGTCCCACTAGATTTAATCGATGGTTTCACATCAGCCACTTTAATGCTGGCCAGTTATCCAACACACTGCCACCCACTGGTTAGAAGATGTAAGTACAACACAATAAAGATGGCCATTGCATCAAGTGGAAAAGGAAACTTACAAACTCAGTATGATTTGACATAGAGCTGGACAACTAATTAGATTTATCATATCTTCAACATGTTGTGCAACAGTGTGACAAACTACGAGCCAACCACAAGAGGAGAGAGGAGAGCAGGGAGAGGAGGAGGCAGGAGGAGAGAGGGAGAGGAGGAGAGAGGAGAGCAGGGAGAGGAGGAGGCAGGAGGAGAGAGGGAGAGGAGGAGAGAGGAGAGCAGGGGGAGGAGGAGGCAGAAGGAGAGAGGAGAGCAGGGAGAGGAGGAGGCAGGAGGAGAGAGGGAAGGGAGCAGGAAGAGAGAGGAGAGCATGGAGAGAAGGAGGCAGGAGAGAGGAGGAGGCCTGTGTGTGTTTAACAGTGTGGGTCAGTAAAGCAGAGGAACAGAATGAGCTCAGATAGAGATGCTGCAGTGATCTCTGTCCTCTGTCCTGATCTTTGTCCTTGTTGTCATATTAACTCTCTTTCTTTCATTATTTTCTTTTAAAATGACTTTCTACATAAAATAAGATCTTTCCCTAAAATTCAGTCTGACAATGGTGTCTTATAATCACTGTGCTCTTATATAAGCGTCAGAATTGTGTCAGTAGTTTTATCATAACACAAAAGGAAAGTTCCTGTTTTACAGAGAGAATACCACGCCTGATGTGGTTTCTTTGCTGAGTGTTAACGTTTCATTATCATAATCAGATCACAAACAGATCTTTTGTGCTGAAATCAAAGTTGAATGCAAACCAGGAGCAGATATACAGTACAATGCAGAGAGTTCAGGTGTTAATCATCGCTCTGGAGCTCAGGTCTGAAATTTAACAGAGAGAGCTGATGGCAAACAGAGAGATGCATGTGAGCGTGTTTACTCTGTATATTTGAACAACACGCTGCATGGACTCCATTTTCTCTGCCCGAGGTTGGAAAACATGAATTGATGGTATTGGATTGATAAGAGGGAAATAAATCTAGAAAATGGCAAACAATGAGGAGGAGAACATCTGATTCCCGGGAAGGAAGGCAGCGTTTGAAGTCTCGGGGTCAGCGCGATAAGGAGAGTTATTCATGTGAGTCTGAGGAGCGCGAGTGTGGAGAATAGAAAGTCAGAGAGAGCGCGATAAGCAGACAAGGAGACAGAGAGGAGCAGTAAATGAGAAACAGAGATAGGAGGAGGAGTGGAGGCCGCCTCCCTCCTCCTCCTCTTCCTCCTCACCTCTCCAAAGGAAACGTTTCATCCTGCTGATTGACAGCTGTCACACTCAGACACACTCCTCCTGGCTCTTTCTTCTGCCCTCCACTGACTCTGGAAACCGTCCACAGGCTAAAAAATGAAATTGTAATTCTGGAAATCGATACGGGCTCAGTCTCTGGGGCTGCTGTAAGTAATGAGGACCTGTCATTCGCTGCACCGGGGACCTGATAAGGGTTGTGATTGGTCTATTCCATCACTGCTGCAGATAGAGAAAGGACACAGTGTAATGTATTGATTAAAGAACAGGGATTAGCTACATTAAAGTGTGCTGGCAGAGAAATTAATTCTGTTATCATTTAAGTCACACTTTATTATTTTCCTCATAGCACCCACAATGATGGGAATCCTGAAAAAATCAACCTAAAATTATGATTTAAGGTGGCTGCAGCATGTAGACACTTATTCATGGTCAATAACAGCACTTTATCCCTGAGTTTCAGACCAGTGAAGAGGTGACAAACTAGGAGTTTAAATCTGTTGCTTCTTTCCTCTGCATAACCTCATCTACTTATGTAACAAACTTGATAGAATGTATGAGCAGAAAATGTCAACTTTTAACTCCTGGAAACTGGTTTGAATTGTGGGGAGAATAATGCTGCTTTGTTACCTCAAAGATCGACCCCTGAGGATTTTGTTTTCATGTTTTAATTATTCATTTTTGAGTCAAAGTTTTATTTTTTTTAAAAAGGAAGCAAGTCTGCAGCTCTTTGGTGGGAAACAGAGGAGTACAAAACTATGGTGGAAAAACCAACACTTGCTCCTGGTAAAGGGGAAAAAAAAGCAAAAGGAAATGAAAGAGCTGAGTATAAAAAGGACATTCAGAGAGGCTGAGTCTCTGAGGAGGAAAGATGGGAAGAGGTTCACCACTCTGTGAGAGACTGAGTGAGTTAATAGTTGAACAGTTTCATAATAATGTTCCTAAGTGTCAAATGTGAAAGAATGAGTGGATTTTATCATCTACAGAACATCATATCATTCAAAGATTCAGAGAATCTGGAGAAATCTCTGAACTAAAGGGACAAGGACCAAAACCAAGACTGGATGGATGGTCCTGATCTTCAGGCCCTCAGGCAGCACGACATTAAAAACAGACAGAATTCAGATTAAACCAGGATCCAGAAACACCAGACTGGCCAATCAGAATCTGACTGTGTTTTTTTGTGGAAATCGTGGAGGCAGCATCCTCTACAACATCTGCTGCCATCCAGACAAAGACTTTTTCAGGGAAGACCTTCATATTTCAGTAAGACAATGACAAACCACATTTTGACAACAGTGATTACAACAGCATGGCTCAGAAGGAGAAGAGTCCTTCAGTCTTGGTAAGAATAGGACATTTGACATTTCCACAGGATTTGATTTGTACCTGAGAGTTTCCTACAGTGAGGCAAACTGAGCTTAAGTTACACTAATGTGCACTAAGTGGCCCAAAGACCTGAAATTCACCTTATAAATGTGTAAAGTTTATTAAACATGAGCACTTGTGTGAATCAAAGAAAAATACAACAACAAACATTTTGAATGTGAGTGATGTATATTCATCATTTTATCATGCTGTATGTTATTATGGTCCTTTCAGGCACCTTCTGTTGTTCTGCACAGGTGTAATCAGGTAAGAAAAAGAGCCCTGAGGATTGGATTGTTGCTCTACTTTCACTTTGATAGGGTATGGAGTTGGCCTACCACAGTTTATAACAGGCCTGAAGTAAATTACTGGTAAGGAGCAGCTGATCAGACCCTGACTGGCTCTCATCCCCCTCCATACTCTGAACTCCGAATGATGTGCAACCAGGCTGAAATCTGCTGCCTGGTCAAGCATGATGCCTGTGAGTGAGAATGTTACATCCTTCGAAGAGAGATCCTGGCTAATTTAGAAGCTCTGTTTCTTTTTTAAGAATTGTTTTTGTCCCCAAAGACCTCAGGTTTGGTGGATGTGAACATTAGAGCTGCCAATCTGCCCACTTTTTTCTCCATAATCGTATGTTTATGAAACTGTTTTATACCACTCTGACAAAACAAACTGACTCAAATCTCCTTTTTATGATCCTGTCGGTGTTAGAAATTACAATAGACTGCATAAATCTGCAGCTTTCCTGCTCTGGATGTCAGTTATAAATGCATTATTTGTAGTTTCTCAGATGGTGACAGACGCTGTTCTACCTTTCCTTCCATCTCTGAGCAGCAAGGAGACGAGGAACACAACACAGAGGTTGTCAGTCTGCCGTTAAACCTAAGTGACTTTATCGTCTCTTTCCTCCTTAAAAAAACATCTGTGTTGACAATTTTGCGTCGGCTGTGTAACATAGCGGCTCGTTCGCTCAGATTGACAGCAGCAGCACAAACAGCCCGGCCTGACAGACGTGTGGGTGCAGACGACAAATTGTTGTACTGTACTCTGTGATGCCGGCCCAGTGTAAGAGTCACGCTCACCTCCCTCCCCTCTCCTCTTCCTCCTCGGGTTCTCCTCCACATCTCACATCTCTCCCTTCCCTCAGCTGGCTTTGCACTACAAAGTAAGGGAGTGGAGTGCAGGTGTTGCACAGAGTTGCTGCTTTGAGAGTTAATGCCAGGAATTTGCAGAACTCTGATATAAAGATTAGAGACGGAGAACAGATATAGAAGTTGGATAACTGCAGCATTTTACAAACAGAACACTTCAGAGCAGCCAGATTGCAGATGTCAGTTTTTTTTTTTCCTTTAGTTGCAGCTCAAAGCAACTAAATTTCCAGAACCTTCTCTGGAAAGAGATGAGGAAATGTTTGGCTTTTCGGATGTTATGTTGCAGGGTTTTGCAGTTTGGGCACATTATTAGGTGGTGGTATGATTGGGAAGCTGGACAGGCCTGTTTTAGTCCTCAGTGTGGTCTGTGAGGTGGAGCTTTGTCCAAGGCTGTGCAGAATTCTTCCTAACCTCAACAGATCAAAATCTAAGCTTTATATATTTTTATTTAGGATGGTGAAGATGAAACCTGATGAATCCTGACTCTACTCCTGTTCACCTGCTGCAACTATTCTATTCTGACCTAATCTGTTCTATTCTATTCAATTTTGTTCTATTTAATTATTTTCTATTCTATTCTGATCTGTTCTATTCTATTCTATTTAATTATTTTCTATTCTATTCTGATCTATTCTATTCTATTTAATTATTTTCTATTCTATTTTGATCTATTCTATTCTATTTAATTATTTTCTATTCTATTCTGATCTATTCTATTCTATTTAATTATTTTCTATTCTATTCTATTCTATTCTATTCTTTTCTATTCTATTCTATTATATTATATAGTATTTTATTCTATTTTGACCTGATCTGTTCTATTCTGTTCTTTTCTGATCTGTTCTATTCTGATCGATTCTATTCCGTTCTGATTTGATCTGTTCTATTCTAGTCTAATCTGATCTGTTCTGATTTGCTCTGATCTGTTCCATTTTATTCTACGCTCTGTCTTGTTCTGTGATATTCTATTATGTTTTTTTTTTTTTAAATATTATTCTGCTCTATTCTATTCTACTGTATTCGGTTGTAATTTGTTGTATTCTTTTCTTTTCTCTATACTTGTTTCAACAGATTTTTAAGATTGAGGCTTTGACCACCTCTCATGCTGATCTAGGCTCAGACTGCAGGGTACATGACACGCACAGACCTACTCTCTTCCTTCTCTCTACAGCTTTATGTATTTATGTCCTAATTGGGACATGTCCTTTATTGTTATTGTAGAGAAAATATCTTTACAATTTTCATCACACCCGAAGTTAAAGGACCATGTTATCTAACTATTGGTAGCTTTGAGTCTGGAAAAGTAGTATGGGGGGGTAGAGTCTTCAGTTTTCAGTCCCCTCTCTATATTATTTTTATCTTGTAACAGTCAGGGTCCGGGTGGCAAAGACCCTCTCTACTTTCAAAAATAAGCTTCACACCATGTGTTTTGGACTAAGCTCATAGTTAGGGTGGCTAAGGCTCAGTCAAGTTTATACTCTTGTGCTGACTCTATGCCGAAGCTCATATTTCATTGACTGGTGAGCTCGCATCTTGTTTTTCGCTGGTGGACTTGGGGGGGTCGAAGCAGCTCTGTTGAACATACAATGTAGTTTTAAAAACAAGCCAAGTTGGCTTTTTTTACAGCATTACAGCTATTAGACTGTATCATCTATATTCTGAGCAGATTTGGGTCTCCAAAAGTTGTATGGGAGGTGGATCCTTGAGCTGCAGGGCTGCTCTCTTTGAAAGCGTCTACAAGTCAGGGTCTGGCAGGCCTCAGTCCTTACTGTTTTTGATACAGCCCATCATACAGGCTGGCTCAGTCTTGTTACAGCCCCTGGTATCCTGCTTCATACTTGGACTGCAATGGCCTCCCACCTCTTCTTTCCGCATGTATTCCTGTCCTATCAAAGTAAATTAGTAGTTTCATAACTTTTGGTACTCAACAAACTTTACATCCTCAAAGTGGTCTATTTGCCCCATTCGTCTTTGGATTTTGAGGCTTTTGCTTTAATTTCACAGGTTTCATCTGGTTGCACTATTTTCTGTGAAAGTCTTTGTTTGGTAGGACAACATAGAAACATCGTAAAAAAAAAACAGCGTGGAGGTTTAATTTGTACCAGTTATTAAGAGATGAGAAATCTTTTTTTCTACGGTATGTTACACATATGCAGAAGATTTTATAAGCAGTAGAATATAAAAACACTAAGATGCTTTCTGACAGTCAAATCTCCAGTGTCAGGACAGAAGCGGTTTCTTTGTAGTAGGTTTTACTTCACTGAATAAAATCCCTTCACATTCTGCTGCAACATTTTCCAGCTGCAGAGACAGTCCAATACTATCAGCCAATATATGGGTCTAAACTCGACTCGAAGGGCTCACATGAGTGTTCATCAGTCATTGATTTTGTTCTGAGTCATCCATACATGTCTGTGGAGCAGGGCGACAGCGAGCGCATGGTCGCTCACTGTAACCTCACAGGATGGAAAGATCTGAAGGAGGAGATAACGGACATGGCTGGTAATTCCCATCAGCGGGCGCCGTGACCGTCCGACTGTGCAGCAGACGTGAGCTCCGATGGCAGATCCATCACTGCTGCTGCACACACTCCTCCTCCTCCTCCTCCTCTACATTTCCACTGTTTCCTCCTCCTCCTCCCACTCCTCCTCCTGTGAGCAAGGAGCAAAGCCTGCTCTGTTTCACTGGTCAGTCAAGCCCATCATCAGGTTAGAGAGTAAGGACATCCATCACCATACAGCTCCAACCCAAACGTCTGCATGTTTCCAGTCAGAACCAGACGGTATCACAGTGTATTCACTGTATTTTTAACATGACACATAGGCCTGAGACAGTAAAACTGAGCCTTCATCTCCTAATTATACAAATATGCACCTTAAAGATGTAACTCCCTGATAAAGTCTGAGAAAGAAAGAGTTTCCTAATTCCATCTTCCCTCTTGAAGAAATAACTATGAAACTTCTGCAGTCATATTTCAATAGTCAAGGTCAGAAATATCCTCTTTCTCAGTAAGCTGGAGGGAAACTCACGAATGCAGTTCATTTCAGTTGGGATTTCTGCAGAATCAAATATAAGGATGAAATCCAAAAGTGAATGTCTACTGGCACAATTTGATTGAGGCATTGCCACACTGGACTATTTTAGACCAAAAAGTGCATAAATTAAAAATATATTCGTGTCTTAGTGTTGTCCAAAAACCATGACTGATATTGGCTCAACACTATAAATGCTGGTAGTGAAGTGTTTTTTATTTTTATCTCCTGTATGTCAACCAGACAAGCTGTACACTGCATGTGGGTCCGACAGCAGACAGCTGACAGGAGCAAACCAAAATACTATCATACTATATGAGATAATAGTACTGTGTTTACAACATCAGCACTATAACAAAATGGTAGAGCACGCCTATTACTGTAAAATCCACTCGCTCTGTGAGTCCAGTGGCTGTATGTCCATAAAATCTCTGTTTCATTTCCAACAGAGCAAATCCTTAACTTTAAGGGACCCTCTGGATTCCACCCATCAAAAACCAAAGTTATCCGTCATTATTGATTTTAATTTGCTGTTTGTTTGTTTTGGTCCATCAACCAATCAGATACTGTACCTGCAAGCGGCTGACATGTAACGTCCAATCTGAAATCAGGCTTAGTATCAGCAGACCTCTTAAGGGAATAAAACTCATAAAATTTGTCTTGACATAGAAAACCTGTTCATACAGAAGCCGAAAGCAGCCATGGATTTTTCTTTTTTCATACACTGTTATCTTGTGATAATGGCTCATCATCTCGTTATCCTGATATAACAACATTTGTTGCCTGACTTTTTTTCCCCTATCTCGACATAACAAAGATTATTTTCTCATGACAATAGAAATGGCATTTCTGTCTACCTCAACAGTAACTTTCAAAAACGCCCTCCAGATTAGGATATTTTTGAAACGCTGCAGCCACCGTTGTCAACAGCTAGTTGGTCTTTTTAAGGAAAACGCTGATGGCATGCTCCATTTCGCGCATGTACATTACCCCTTCAACGTGGGAACATTTAACTGCCATGCGCGAATCATTAAAGATTTAATGCGCATGTGCAAAATGGAGCATGCCGTCAGTGTTTTCATTGAAAACCCCCACTTGCTGTTGACAGTGGTGACTGCAGCTTTTCAGAACGTTAATCCGGAGGGTGTTTTGAAAAGTTACTGTTGAGGTCGGCTAAATCATCATTTCTGTTATCATGAGAAAATGATCTGAGTTCTGTCGAGATAACGAAAAAATAAGTCAAGACAACCAACTCTGTGTGAACAGGCAAACATCTTTCTACATAGAAGATCCATGAGGATGAATAGAGAACCGGAACAACAGACAAAGTTGTTAATAGTGATGAAATCTAATTAATTTATATGCTTATTTATAGATAAAGATTTTAAGCCCTAAATCACTAAAAAAAAAAAACTCTTAACTCGAGAGAACCCTAAGTTGTTAATGAATAACTGAACAACAAAGACAGGCCAGGTGAGCAAAGATGGTGGAAAATATTATTTATGAGGAAAAAAAGATCTTGGCTGTGTTTGAAACCACCTGCTGCAAATAATATATTTCACTATGAAGGAATTTGCCATCTTCTATCACTGCCTCCGAGCACTGCAAAGTGGCAGTAATTTCGACTTTCATTTATGCACAGAGTATTTTTGAACTCCTGACATCCCAGCTGAAGCTGACAGCACCGGCTTTAATCAACCTTACATCCTCATACTGTCAAAACCATGCATTTACAGCAAATGGTGATATACGATGAAGTAAATACACATTTTTATTGAATAGACTTTAAGATGAATGATGTGGCCAAAGTGGTCTCTCAGCATCCCTGTCACCCCTGGTAGATCCACATACTGTAACACACCTGTTGTTGGCAGTATCACCATTCATCACAATTCAGCGACTGTGTTTTCAAAGAGTACTTTAGCTGAACCTACTTTGCTGTTCTAACAAAACACGGCTCCTCCAGGGTTTGATCCTAGATTTAAGGTCCTAGAACTGCTGCCACCAAACCTTGCAGACACATACTATTATACTAGGTACCACTGCTAGCAGCCCTCAGCTGTCAGTCAAAGAGGCCACGCCCCCTATTAGTTTTAACATTATTGATGTAAATTAGATTCAAATTCATCCCATACAGTTGTCATGTATGAATGAATAAACAAAAGAGGGATATCTTTTTTACCAGGCTGTAAACGTGACTTTTTCTGCTGTAAACATGGACTTTTTACTGTGGGGCTCTATGGAGACGGACTTACTTTTGAAGCCAGCCTCTAGTGGCCAAATGAGGAACTGCAGTTGTTGGGGCTTGTACATTGGACACATTTGTAGCTTTTTGAAGTTATTATTAATGTCATTATTTATAAACCAAGTCTCATCAAACAACAGCCAGTTTATTTATTTCTTTATTTGAACTGATGAACTTAATGTTTGCATTCCCTCCTTATCTGCAAGCACAACCAGTAACACCAGCAATTATTCAGCCTCCCAAAGAATCCAGTAAGAAGACCTTTTCTGCTTTATTTGGTCTTCTTAATATCCAGATTAAAAAATAAATAAATAAATAAAAGAGGATTTAGCGTAATCATTTTCTGTTTTCTACGGTTGGAAATGTTAAATCAGTCAATAAAGGATGGTTTAAAATAAAAAAAGAAAAGGAGACAGAAGAGATCTGTTTCAGCGCCTTTAAAAAGGAAATGTGTCATTTGAATGTAGATATCAGGGAGTGTGTGAGAGGTCCGCTCATGCACACACATCACCTGAGGATGTAAAGCAGGTTGGATGAGGTTATCTAATCGCTTCCTGCCTTCAGAGACACTCCTCTCCCTGGACCGCTTCAAAGTGCTGCTATCAAGGTACCACACGCTTCGCCATAAACCGATTGCTCCATGCTGAGAGGCAAGACGAGGACGCAGGGTTAAGATCCCCTCAGGATCAAACCTGGGTCGCAAGCCAGGCGAGATTCTCAGAGAACAACGCCCTTCAACCATCAGCCCCAGCTCTGACCTCTGAACTGTGGATGCGATTGAAAATCTGGAGCAGTGCGTGCAGGAGAGGATAGAGGCTGCGGTCATTAATCACAGACTGCCTCCGACACACCGTCCAAACACACACACAAACACACTCCGACGAAACTCATGCTGCAGAGTCGGCATGGAGGGTTGCACTGGCATCATTCAAGTGTGATTCCTCTGTAATTTTACACCATCAAAGCTGCAAATCTGAGGCAGAGTCCCCTCATTGGCCCCCCTCTGCAGCTGAGCAGCCCTCCTCTCAATGATGCATGCAGAGAGGGAAAATAAGCAGACACCACAGACGCCGCAGTAGGTGTTATTATCATTGACTTTATGGTTGTGCACCAAGGTCAAGTGTTGTTTTGTGAGAGCCAACAGCCGCCACCACCCCCCACCTTTCTACCTCACCGCCCCCCCCTGGGGTAGGCTGTGCTCAGATCAGACACCCCGAGACGCACAGGGAGGATCACTAAGGTCACAGTTCACCAGACGGAGAAAACACACCACAACCGGAGCGAGTCACCTTCATGTGTCTGAGCTTGAGCTGTGAAGCATCAATCTGTCTGAGGAGGTACACAGCAGCAGTCTGAGCCAAGGTCAAAGGTCAGCTGAACATGAGAGACCTCTATTTCTATTAACTTGATCTTCTATTTCAAAGAAAGTGAGTTCATTTATTCAGATTCTGATTTCCTTCCACTTCTTTTATTTTATTGCTTATTGAGTTTTATTGCAGTAAAATGTCGGCCATGTTTTTCTAATATAAAGGCTTTGTTCACTTCATTTCTGCATTAACATGAGTGCTTTTTATGACTATTTACAATAGCATTCAGTTACTGGGGCTTTCAAGCCCTTGTAGGTCTGTAATCTATTTGTGGATTTCTGTGCACATTTATTGGTCCACAGAAATGTTTTTCTGATGCCTACTGATATAAAAGTGACTGATCACTCAGGTTAGAAAGAAACCAATCCTAAGAATAATACTTTGATGAATTGTAATATTTTTGTCATGTTAATATTTTTAAGCAGAAATGACTAAAACTATCAGCCCCAATTCCTAAAGTTTTATTGATGATTTAGCTTCATTTGTCAAATCAGAGTAAACTGAATATTGACGATTTTGGGACACAAGTTGGACAGTTAGTTTCAATCAATCAATCAATCAAATTTTATTTATATAGCACTTTACAATATCCCAAATGGTACCCAAAGTGCTTTACATAAAAGCAATAAAATAACACAAGAAAAAATACCATTATAAAATAATACAATAGAATAGAATAATACAAGAACGATGAAATAATAAAAATGAATATGAGAATAAAATAATACAATAAAATAGCATGTAGAAGTGCTAAAAACCTATAAGTACAGGACTACCTAGTCAGAGTTAAAAGCAAGTCTAAAAAGGTGCGTCTTTAACTTTGATTTAAATAAACTGAGGTCAGTGGTGGTGCGTACATCTAGCGGCAGTCTGTTCCACAGCCTAGGAGCTGCAACAGCAAAAGAACGATCACCCCACTGTTTGAGTTTTGACCTCGGGACCTCCAACAGGCGCTGACCGGAGGAACGGAGGGCCCTGCCATGATCGCGAACAGTTAAAATCTCTGACAGGTAGGAGGGGGCCAGGCCATTTATGGCATAAAAAGTAAATAATAAAAGTTTAAAGTCAATTCTAAAACAAACTGGAAGCCAGTGTAGCGAAGACAGCACAGGGGTTTAATCCTGAGGACATCGTACCTTTAATGAAATATGATTTATAAAGATTTATTGCATGAGTTGTTGCAGGATGTTAAATGAGTGACCTTTACTGATCCCTTAAAAAATAATCAGACCTCCTTCGAGAAATACGGAGCTAAATCAAACTGCTGAGGAAATACCAACATTTATAAAAATCAATGTACATAAACAGAGCTACTTTATAAAACCTTTAGGTGACTCAAATCCAAATTACTTGACTGGAAATCAATAACATAGTTAACATTTATGATACCCCTGTAAGTAAATTACAACCATGAAATTGTTCTCCTTTTTAAGTTAAAGGTTTAAAGATATTATTTGGTAAGTTGAAACTGCTTTTTTTGTTTTTTCTTTCTGAGTGGTCAGCTGCACACCAAATACTTAATGGATAAGTAATCCCTATTCTGGTTGTTTCTTAAACATAAGTGAAATCCTCTTCAAAGCTTCAGTGAGGAGTTTTTAAACAGTGATGAAAACCACTTATATTTACAGCCATGCTCCTTTATAACTTCAAAAGCAAACTAAAGCATGAGAGGAAAAACGGACAATTACTGCAGCGTGACTTTAATTGTTGGTCAAAAGGGCGAGGTGAAAGGTGTCTGATGTCACAACACCAGGAAGAAAACATTTCTCTTATTCAAGGATTCATAATGGATGCCATTTTATTGTGAAACATAACCCAGCAAGACAGGAGCAAGATCTACAAAGGTTTAACAAGTATCACTCTGTCCACAGGGGGTGCCAAAATCTACACGAACAGAAAGTTTCTTACAGGAGCTTTAAGCACATGTCACGAATGTTGCACTCTTGTATCTATTTGTAGTATGCACATTATTTTAAATAGTCTTTCTCGAGGGTTTAAGGGTTCAAAATAGGCAGCCTTGTGTAACCGTGTTGCCCTGGTTTCAGGTAAAAAGCATACAAATGTTTACCTTTTGCAAACAAAGTGTTAAATGCACTCATTTCTAAGGCTGTTACTCCAAAACCAAACTAATCTGTTTGCGTATGTGAAGCTAGCGAGAGCTTATGTCATTTTCACTAAACTACAGTGACTCCTACTGGTCACCTGGGTAACTGCACGAGCTATTACAACCAGTAATGCGAGTGACATAAGTCCTCTTTTTTCTGGAACAAGTAATTCAATGTGTTGCTATTTTCAAACCAGTAATTAGATTCAGGTTACATGTCCAAGTAACTGTGTGTGTTACTTTTTTCCCATTTTCCTTATAGAAAAATGTTTATCTGGGGGGAGTGACATCAGTCATGTAGGCAACAAGTCAAATTTTTTACATGAGAACCACTCAAGTGTAATACATATGCAGACATGAAAAGCAGTCGCAGCAAAACGAACATAAACAACAATGGAGGGAGGAGAGAGATGCGCGTTCTCAAGCTGAAACTACACCCTCTACTTTAAAGACTGTCTTTGTTTTATATTTTATAAACAAAAATTGTTGATGTTTTGTCAGTCAAGAAAGACTATCTTCAGTTCAGAAATAATAAAAAAAAAAACATGTATTTGTTGACATTCCTGTTAAAATTACACTTCCAATAAAGTGAGTGTTGGAAAGATAAATGGTTGTCATTTAAATGTTGAGGCTACTGAATGTAACTTAAAAAGTAACTTGTTAACTAAGTTACTTTTAAAATCAAGTAATCAGTAAAGTAACTGAGTTTCTTTTTAAGGGAGTAATCCGTAATCAATAATCGAATTACTTTTTAAAAGTAAATGTGGCAACACTGATTACAACCTCTAAATTAAATATTAGTGGTCACTCTATGTCAAGTGGCCAGAGCATAGATATGTCAAACCTTTAGTGTCTAAAAGAGGGTAATAATTATTTTAATCAGACTTTGATTTGAGGTGGTAATTTAAACCTTCTCAACATGTGATCATTTAACCAAAGGAGACCTGAGAAATCCTCCAGGTCTTAGAGTTCACATCAAATACTCTCAAGGACTCTTAATCAGCACCTTTTCACACCTGGAATCCTCTCAAAGATTCAAAAAAGCACCTGAATGACCCTAAACACACTTCTGACCATCAGTCTCGACAATAACACCAGGAACCTCAGACACAACAGGACAAAGCACTTTGAGCTCTATCCCAGCCTCTTTCTGAGTGTCTAAAAACCAATTTTAAGCGCTCAAATAACCCTGGCTCTGGATTTGGAGAACCTCCAGGCATGTATGAAAGAATTTTCTGCACCTGTGAGCATCCTGAGAGGCAGCAAGTCCCAGAGTGAGAGCGTCTGACTGTTACAGAGCCGATATCTGGGCTGAGCTGAAGCCAGGAAGACGGCGGCGGTGCAGTGAGGGAATTTCAGCGTTGTTCTCCGAGTCTGAACTCTCAGCCCTTTTGTGCTCAGCCTCTCTCCAGCAGCCGGGCCTGAAATGCTCCAAAGTGACGCCTCCATGCTGCTTTAAAAGCTAAGTAGCACAAAGGTTGAACAAGGAGCTGAGAGAAATGTTCACTTATAGTCGACATCTGCACTGAAGAAACATAACACACCACTCTCTGCACGGCTCCCACTTGATGGCCACACAATGCACTGAGTCCGAGTGCCTGCAGCTGCCTGTATCCATGTGTGTGTGTGTGTTCAGTCGCGCAGCATGTGGGCATTTGAGCAAATTCCTTTGCTAAATAATTGAATTAATTCTGGCCCGCTCTTGATTTCAGCTTCAAACATCTCAATGAAAAAAATGTATTTTTGTCAGGCGGTTTAATTTAGAGGCCCTCCGCTGAAGAGGAGGTGGAGTCGACAGGGGACAGAAGGTGGAGGTAGGTGGAAGGGTGGAGGTTTCACACTGTGTGAGCTGTGCTGTAGTGATCTCAGTGGGACTTTCTTCCCTCCCCAGTGTGCACACTGCTTGACTCTGCAGGCCCCATTTGCAGCGTTTGATAATAACACCTTAATGTGACTGCTACGACTGCTGCCAGTGGGACCACCGCGTCTGCTGCTCCCAGGGGAGAGGAGAGAGGAGAGGAGAGGAGGGAGGGATGGAAGGAGGGAGGGGGTGAGGGTGGGAGCGTGGAAACCACACAGACCTCGACGTCAGACTCCAGTCACAATGCTGCACCGAGGCCCAGTGAAAACCTTGTCTGCCAGGTTTCTAAAAAGTGCTGCCAACAGAGTCAACACGGCTCAAATCCCCAAATCCTCCTGCAGTCTGAGCCCAAATCTGTGACTGCAGGAGGAGGCAGAACTGATGGAATAAAATGTAAAGACAAAGAGACACTCTGGCATCACAATATATAAACAACAACATCAAGAATTAAGGGGAGATTGGAAAAGACGAGCTGTGTAGAAGTGGAGAATTTGCCCGTTGTACCCCTTTTCTAAAGATGTGTAACCAGACTAAAACAAGGAGGAGGAGAATGAAAATCTACTTGAATAAAATCTTAAGATAAAGAATAACTAAAGCGTGAAAATATTAAAAAAGCAGCATGAGGAATAACTCACTAAAGTGGCTAATTCGACAGTTTTACTGTCAGTATTCAGAAGTGTACTAAAGAAAAGAGAGACAAACAGAGTTCAACCAGAAATATTCAGGATCAAGATTTTTTTATAAGTGATTACAAAACAAAAACAAAAAAACTCTCCCCTCTTTCTGCACAAAAATGACATCGAAGGATTTTCATCTGAGGACACAAAATGAAAAACATGTTGTCGTAATAATTTTTTTCTGTGAACCTTGACAGGAGAAAACCTTCCAAAGTAAAAACATGAAATAGGAAATGTTATGTTATTTTAAGTGGATAAACAGTGTTTGGAGGCTTTGTAAAGAAATGCTGAATTAAAGACAACACCTTCCTCTTGATATCCATGCAAAGTCATCTGAATTAATAGAAAGACCTCTATTAAAATGAAGCATACATTGAAATGATGACGATCCCAGATGGGTTTTTGCAGCCCAGGAATAATAGCAGGCGTGTTAATTAAATATTGGACCCATAGGTGCTGGCTGTGTGTTATATAGGCTGCCCTGCTGTCTACCTGCGCTCTCCTCTGCCTGCTGCCGTTATCGGGGTCAAGGCGCGGCTCGCAGACAAGAGGCTTAAGCGGAGACAAGAGCCTTTAACACGAAATAAAACCATCAAAGTTCAGCTCTAATCCCTGCCGCCGTGGATAAGGCTTCCTGTTAACGGGCTGCACAATAAGCTCCGTTTACTCTGGGCGGGATAGCTTCTTTGTGCGAGCCTTTTTTTCCCTTTTACTACTGAACAATTCAACTCAGACACCACGGAGGACAGACAGGATTTAAAAGAGAATCAGGGAGGATTTTCACCACCAGTGCGCTGCTAGATTAAAAAAAGAAGAAAAAAAAAACATTTCCTCGACAGCAAGAAATTTAAATTAATGTCTGGTGTCTAAAAATGGAATTAAGCTAAGTGATTTAACGCTTAAGAGACATCAAGAGAATTATTTCAGAAGGGCCAAAATCTAGACTTCGAAAGCAAAAATGTCAAAAGCAGAGGGTGCTGCCAAAGAAAGGTGAAATAATATAAATTGTGCCACAAAATTTCCATTACAGAAGATAATTTCTGATAAAATATATTTAATTAGAGGCCCGTTTGTCCCGTTTATCTCCGCGAAACATCGTTTGCTATTAGAATTTACCGGGAAAGTGTGAAGGCCGTTTTAAGACTTTCAGCACCGTGGACAGTTCCACAGTCCTCCAGCTGTGTGTTTCTCTCCAGGGGTGAATTTCTACAGAGATCCAAGTCACACACACTAACAAACTCTGCAGATACAGTTACAAATAATAAACACACGTTAGTGTTTAAACTGAGAAAAGTTGTTAAAATACGTGTGCGTGTGTGTGTGTGTATTTTCCACATTTGGCACAGTTGTCAAAGGCGCACAAATCTCTGGTTGGTTACACCTGTTGGGCTAAAATCCATCAGTAGAGGTTGAATAAATATATGTTAATTAGTAGAATTAATAGGGTTTGTAAACTCTGCAAAAAATAAAGTAAAATGTGATTTTAAAAGATCTTTTAGGTCGCATTAAAGAGGAACATAACCGAGACTTCCTCTGTCGTTAGGCCTGTTTGTCCGTATTTTTCAGTTTCATTGCAAATCAGACAAGATGTATCTTTGTTTTTCTTATCGAGTTTGCCTGTTACTGTTGGAGAGAGAGAATGCGGAATATAAAGGACTTTTTGTTGCGTAAAACCATCTTAACAGTGTGTGAAGAAAAGAAAAAAAAACACGCATCATCCCACGGTGTGTCGCTTCTAAGACCACACTTAAAGCAAAAACAAACTTATGAATTAAACATATTTATTAATGTTAAAGAACTATGAATACATTTAGTTTGGTTGTAAATGAAGGTTCAGTCTCTGTCTTGGTCGTTCATTTTCAAGTTTGACTCGTTTTAAACACTGGCAGCAGAATTTCACCCGAAAACTCACATCAGATGTTTTCTTTTACACTCTAATCATCATAAAACAGTCATATAAAGCTCAGACTGCTCCCTGTCACATTTTTTTTCTATCGTAACCCCGCTGTGGAGTGCGTTCCCTGCTGTCCATGCAGCCCGACTCTACATAGACTTTGGTTTGGTTTGGTTTGTTATGGCGCCCCCGTGAGACGATTCCACCACTTGTGCCGGTGTGACATCGTTGTTTGAGGCATCAAATTTCCTTTTTACTCAAATATCAGACTTTAAATAGTCTAAAAAAGGTTTACTTCCAAGTATAAGGCATTTTTCCACATTTTCCCTGCGCGTAAAGGCACATTCCACAGCTAACCAAGCAAGCGCCTTTTTACGCACAGCGTTAACGCGCACTGAAAAGGCCAGCCTGGTGCAGATTCCTGCATCAAAACAATTAAAAAAGCGTGAAGATAAAGTTTGGCTCCCCGCTGAACACACCAAATGTTGTATTCATGAGCCACACTGTGAAATAAGCTAAGAGCTGCAGAGCAAACGCATTTGGGAAAAGCGCATGTTTAAACCCAGAGAAGTCCTCTCAGGGAGGGAAAATACGAGCAGAAAACGCTTGTAGACTTTTTGTGGGAGCAGCGTGAAGCGTAAAAAGTTGAACTACACGTATAGGCTGAGCGCAAGCATCCAACTCACCAGGTAAAGTGCAGGCGTCAGGAGGAACACGGCGCACCAACACGTCACCTGCATCCTCCCGGAGCTCAAAGTTCCAACAATTTCCCTCGGCTGGTAGTCGCGGCTTTGCGGACCATAAATCCACCTGGTATCCGGCTCACAACGCGCTCAAGCCCCTCAACAGCCAAGGAAAAACGGACACAACGCACCCCATGACCGCAGAACAGAGTAAAGAGTTTGAGTCTGGGGGGCAGGACTGAGGAGCCGGAGCGGAGACGGCTGCTGCTGCTGCTGCGGGTACTGCTGGAGTGAGAGGAGGGAGGGGCGACAAACAGCGGTTAGCAGAGAGTTAATCCAGGTAGAGGGAACAGCGGGGTCATAGCTGAGAGCAGCTTCAGGTCCTGATTGTCTGATAGCTGGCGCGCGCAGCGGTCGGAGTGCTACGATGTGAAGCGAACGGCGGGGCTTTCCGCTTTATACCGCGCGCTTACAACACAAGCAGGGAGACTCTCGCTGCAGGGGGGAGGGACGAGATGAGGAGGGGGGAGTAAAAAAGGCAGGAAAAGACGAATAAAACGAGAGGAGATTGGTCCAAGGCGCAGAGGATGAAGAATGCGAAGTTTTCTCTCTCTTTCTCTCTCTCTCTCTCTCTTTCTATCTCCCTCTCCCTCTCCTGAAAGAGACGCTCGTAAGGGAGAAGCGGTTCACCTTGGCTGCAGGTTTGTGCGCTTGATGTAGATGAATGAGCTGACATTCACAACTCCGCTGCCAATAACTCCTGGCAGCCCCCCACTCCACTAAACCCACTCCTAAACCCCCTCCTACCCCAAACATGCGAGCCCCAAACTTGAACAAACAACAACAGCGTTGCTCATGAAGCTTGTCCAAAATATTACCTCCAATCGTCACTGTTATATAATAATAAAAAAAAAAGATACATCCCGAATATCTGCTCAACATCTGTCAAAGCATGAAGATTTTTCAGGCTCATGCTTTCTAAAGTATTTAAGCTCACAGAAAGTCTCATTTTCAGATCTGGAATTGAAGCTCGGGAGTTTGAGGAGTTTTCTAAAAACACACGTGGCAGTGTTATTGAGAAGCAACCAATTCCTTTATCGATCAATTTTACGATATTTTCAAATTCAGAGGCAGCAAACACTAAACTCTTATTTTACAACTTGTCTGAGTCCACTGCGTTCCAGGATCCTCAGTACAATTTTGAGATATACAGTGTGTGTGATTTAAAATGTTTACAGATCTGTATTATTGTACCAAAAGCAAATTTTGAAAAGTTTGGGCAAATTAGAAATTAGAAATAATAGAAAAGGATTGATAGATTGTCTTCTGTTGTATTTCAGAGCTCGTCTTCCTGGTCTAAATGCTTTATTGAACAATCTCTGGTGTTTAAAAACCAGTAACCTGATGCTGGTCCGTTATGAAACACTGGTATGGGCAAATCAGTTTCAGAGGAGTTGTCACTGTTGCACACGACTCTCATGAATGTAACAATGGAAGTCAAATGGTGAGATATAAGACAGGAGGTCCAACACAGACCTTTGAATGTGTACAACTGTTCCTCCAACAGTTTCAGGGTCTGAAATAAAAATAATCATCTGAACCTCCATTTTTAAGATCGTCTGGCATTAATGCCAAAACTATTTGTTTTATTTTATTTTTTTCAGTAAAACATCCACAAAAATCTGGGTTAGAAATATTCCTGTCCTTCTTTTACAATATGACACTTTTCTGTAGACTGAATGTTCCTGAATGAAATGAAAGCAAATTCACTCAGGCAGACTTCTGCTCGAGTTGTATGATTGAAGAGAACCAATTTATATTTGTGATAAAACATTATTTCAACCCTGAATGGTAATTTTTTCATTACTTACACTTAACAGGACATAAATGTGACTACATTCAATCAAGTCAGACTCAAAAGATTCAGGTTAAGGACAAAAATCTGGAGGAGAACCACACCTGACTCTAAAGGGCCCTCTGAGAGTAAGTTTAAAGGCACATCCTGTTGTGATGGATGCGGACAAATAAACACAGATACCGCACAGTTTATTGCCATTAATACCAGGTGTCATGTGTCTTTCTTTGTCTCCCACAAGCTCAGGCAGAGGGACCTCAAACTGAATTTGTCTGTCACACAAAAACAAAAATGTCAGAAGTCAAATACTGCAAATGAAAACCTATCTATATTTGACTTTGAAAAGATAAACTTAGTGTAAGGGTTTATTCATATTCTGTAGGATTTACAGCATTGATATGAGAACTGGAATGAGACCGGGCTCTGTAATGTATTTCTTCTTTTGGTAATTGCATGTTATTTCGTCCCCTATGGTACACCACATGTGCTGCAGGGTCTTCCTGTTGTAACAGGATGTCAAACTTGATATGAAGATCTCTGAAGTATCTGGAGTTGGGGCGAAGCTGATCAGACTGCTACACAAAAACCAGCGGATCCCTTTTTTAGAGCCTCTGGTTGTAATAGTTTATAAAAGAGACTGGAACTCTTGAAAAGTGCGAGTGTGCTGTTACATTAACCAGGATTCCCTGGACTTCAGTGAGCCATCAAAAAACTGCATCTCAGAATAACTGCACTCCATATTGAGGCTGATTGGACACTTTATTCACGCACTCTGATCCATCAACAACAATAAAATTGATATTTATAACAGTGAGCTGCTGCAGGTTGTTGCTTTAGCTCACCTCATCAAACTTTGGCATTTCTTGGTCTGGATGTTGAATTCATCGTAGTCTGCTGTTTTTAATAAAAAAATGAATGATTGAAATGAGGGTATTAAAGTGTCTACATTTTAAAACACACCCATGAGCCACATCAGCCACAGTTACTACATTTGACAGAGTCAACACTTCATCACAGGTGTCTCCTCCACCTACGTCGGGGTTTCAGACCAGCATTAATAAATACAAATGTCATGATGAGCATTTTCATTGCGTTCATTTATTCCCAAATCAAGGCGATTACTTTGATGTTAATATGGGCTTGAAAACTGCACAATGATGGATTTTTTAACATGCAATTAAAGATGCAATTAATCTCCATGAAGTGGTGAAAGTGTTTTTAATGTACCAGAATATGTTGGGTGGTGTTCTCACATACAATGATCACAAAAAAATGTGACATAGAAATAATCATGGAAACAGTTACAATGACTGAAAACATGGTGCATTTGGGCACCATTCATATGCCCCTCACAGACCAGTATGTTGATGCATGGTGATTTTTTCCTCATTGAGCAGTGAAGGTAAAGTCTGCACTGTTACACAATACAAAAGTCTCCAAAGCACATCAACCTCACTAAAAAGTCTTTTCAGGAAGTGACTTTTTGAGCAAGGGTCCCACGATAAGCTTTAAAAGCAGACAAAGACTGAGACTGTAAGGTTTGACTGTCTTGGTGTTGAAGAAATTTGACACCCAAAAGTAAGAGATGTGCCCAGAACATGCTGCTTTGTCCTGGAGTTAAACTAAACAACCAGATTTGAGTGAAGGTAATTAGATTTGTGCTTGAAAAGCTGGTTTGTGCATGTGCATGTGCATGTGCATGTGCTTGTGCGTGTGCATGTGTGTGTGTGTGTGTGTGTGTGTGTGTGTTTGCAGAGACAGCAAGGTGACTGCAGCCCTGTTGTGTGTTTCTGGGTTGCAGATAGACAGATAGGATCCTTTTTTGTTGAGGAGCAGGGAGGGCGGGGAGGTGAGCGGAGAAGAAAAGACAGGAGGGGCCCAGCTTTAATAAATCCCAACAGTCTCATTGCTACAACATTGCAGTGGTCAAGCATTGTGGCCATAACTCAGCCAGCGGGGCTGATGGGATCCCGCTCTGAATGGCCCCGATAGCCTTCACAGGCTCGGCATGGCAGCGGTGGTGGAGCGGGCGGAGATATATCACCACAGAGAGGCTGACGTCCATTGTGGCTGTAATGAAGCACCAGCTGGTCCAGGAGAGCTAAAGGGCCTGAACCTCAACAATCTCTCCTTGTTACTCAAGGATGTATCAGCCTGAATTCAGCTAAAGTTTAATGTTGATACTCTGAAGCTTAAAAAATAAATAAATTAAAAAAAAAAAAAACTTCTTGGATTGCATGGTTGCCCTAAATACTTTTAGTCAAAAAGAGAGACCTCAACAGTTGGTGAGGGTGATGCCAAAACACCCCAACAGTGGGCGCTAGCACATGGTTCATTTTCAGCAGCGTTTTCCAATAAGGACATGGCCAGTTGACGCGGGGTATTAACGTCTTTTTTTAACTTCCAAAAAAACTAAACTAAACTTGTTGATAAAGTTTTAAAGCTCCCTCGGGTGTGGTCCACAGCAGAGCAGATTCATCAGTGGGTTTAAAGCAGAAACTCACAGTTATGGACAGGTCAACTGATCTCATCTATTAAATATGAGCAGAACAGATTTGTGTGCAAACTGTTTACAGGAGTTACATCAATCCTGATATCTATTGATATAAAGGTAGCTCCAACCTTTCAGGAGGTAAGAACAAAATCTTCACCTGTTGTCTAGAGAATACTCCTAAATGTTGCTTGTTGTTATAAAAAAAATACAGTTTTAATTCAGATTGTACTGATATGGTCACAGTAGGCATATGCCAGTGAAATATTAAACACAGAAATCAAACACTTTTGGCAGGTCTAAGGTTCTGATCAGGTTGATTAGAATAGCACTAGGCAATTAAATGTGTTTTCTACAAGTTCAACAATAAAAATAAAATCACAAAAAAGTTGGAGACAAACTTGATGTAAAATTTGGATTATTTTTCTACCTATTTCATGAATTTAGTGTATAGGATTTTAGCACTATGGACTGTCATGTGCACATTTAAACAGAGATTTACTGACATTTGAAATATCAACATAAATGAGACTCTTGTGTTGGTGTTTGAGACAACTTCACATCATTATCTTCAGGACTTGGAGAGATAACTTTTTGGCTGCAAAGATTCAAAATGACCTTGAATCCAGAGGACACAAAAATGACTTCTAAATTCATTTTATTTCTTAAAGGACCATACCATAACATTTTTTTTAAAAATGAATGTTGCCATTTAATGCATTACACTCAAGTTATCTTACATCAGACCAGTTTGAGTTTAGTTTAAAAGGTTGGAGTCATTACAGATGTGCATCTTCAGCAAAGCTTGAAAAAGAAGCATGCTTAAGACAAACAAGTGGGGACCCAGAATTGAGCCCTGGGGTACCCCACAGCTGATGTCTGCTGAACCAGCTTATTTACATATTATTGGCTTGAAATAGTACTTTTGGATTAATATCTAAGCTCAGATAATTTGGTCCAAAGTGTTTTCCAGAATAGTCATGTGGCCTCCGAGACAAAGTTAAAGACAAGCACACCTGTATTTTGTTCCAAGAAACAATAATGAGTGTCACTGCTACAGTATACGCACAATCTGTAAGTGTGAATTTAAGAGTTAAAGTTAAGATTCGGGTCATTTGTTTGTCGCTACTTGATGGATGTATCTAGGTAATTGGCAGGTGTGTAGGAGGGTTTCCTTTCCTAATAGGCTGCTTAATTTGCCAACTAAAGGAAACAGCTGTAAGCCCGGCACCAAGCTAATCAAGGATGTGGGCGTAATTGGTTTTACAGTGTGTCCTCAAAGCCATGTCACATTTCCTGCAACACCAACCACTGTCTTATAACTCTCTTCCTGACAGAGTTTAGACACTTGCAGTGTGTCTGCAGGTCTGCATGGAGAGCAAAGGCAGGAGGAACACAGTCCTCCA